GAGTCACGTTACTTCGTATCCAGAAGTAATAGATATATTACTTGCTGCCAATGGCTGAATGGATAGGTAAAGGAAAGAAGTGAAGGGGACTGCTTTCCATTGGGGAACTGTATTTTAAGCGAACCTGTTATGGTGAACGGCATGGGCAAAACACAGGTGGTGGGAGCGGAACTGGTACTGTCCTACCTAGTAAGCTTCAGCATGATTTAAAACTTCATTAAAGGCTACCTTCACCTCTTACACCATAATAAATCCGTGTTTAGGGTGTAACATGGTGCCAATTGCCCTCCTCCCTGGTACAGTCATGTGATCAAGCAGTATCTCTTGGAAGAAGTCAGCAAAGATGGTGTTGATGGGTGTAAACAGAGAGTGAGTTTATGGATTCACTGTACATACAGCGGTCATGTGAGTTATGTCGTAAGTGATATGCTGAGTTTCAAGAATTTGTCTTGTGAGTCTCATTTTATACGGAATAAACTATAGAGTTTTGGATTATATTACACTATTGGAAGAGCATTTTTTTCCCTTACACTTCATGAGCCTATTTATTACACTGAAAGTGGAGTTCAGAAGCAAAATAGGTCTGGATGCTGTTCTAAAGTGCTTTTGCCTATCTGGAATATGAAAGGCAATAGGATCTGGTGAATTACACTGGATGTGGACTGGGTCATTGGTGGTAGTCACTGAAGTCACTACTGGTGATATATGTTTAACCACTTGCCTACTGCACGCTTTTACCCCATTCCTGCCCCGGCCAATTTTCAGCTTTCAGTGCTGTAGCACTGTAAATGACAATTGCGCGGTCATGCAGCACTGTACTCGTATGAAATTTTTTCATACAAATAGAACTTTCTTTGGTGGTATTTAATCACCACTGTGTGTTTTATTTTTTGCTAAAACAAATGAAAAAAGACAGAACATTTTTAAAAAAAAAGTTTTTCTTTCTATATAAAATTTTGCAAACGGGTAATTTTTCTTCTTCACTGATGTGTGTTGATGAAGCTGCACTGATGGGCACTAATGCACAGCACTGAAGGGCACACATTGGCAGCACTGACAGGCACAGATTGACAGCATTGCTGGGCACTTTCGGGGCTGCACTCATAATCAGTGTATAGGTCTCCTTTCAGACTTGCCGGTTATCGGCAGTACTTTCCTCACACTGAGAGCGTGAGGAAAGTACTGCCGATAACCGGCAATGTATTTACATGGTGATCAGCTGATCACGTGGTAAAAAGGCCGCTGTGATTGGCCCTTTACCATGTCATGTGATCAGCTGTTTCCAAAGGACACAGCGATCACACAAACTGTCGGATGTGCGCTGCATAGGGCACTGTTCTGGGAGGACAATAGGATGCCCTCCCAGAACTGGACGACTGCGCTGTAGCCGTCATTCAGCTATAGCTCAGTCAGGAAGTGGTTAAAGTGGAAAGAAGACACAGGAGTGGACTTTGTTTATAAAATTATTTCAAAGTTTCTTGGGACTGAATGCACTGGACTCTTCTGCTTTGTTTAAAATGTTAAATTTTTTTCACTTTTTTTTGTTTAGCTGTTTATAGGTTTTTCACAGCTCTAATAGTGATCTGAGCACTATATTGTTTGATTACTGTATGATATTTGTGGTATATAAACATGTTTTCCCTGAGGTTTATGTGTTGAAAGCAAAAAAAAAAGTGTATCAAAGTTTGCTACATATGGAGCTGTGTAGCCGCAGACCAGTCAGGGTGACCATGATGACCTGTGTCCACAGCCGATAGCGCATACAATTGCCTTGAGATGAGCAACAATGAGCATCAGTACTGGACCACAGAGCAGTGGAACAAGTGGCCTGCCTGAATCAGGTTTTCTTTAACATCATGTGGATTGTTGGGTGCGTGTGCATCGGTTACATGGGGAAGAGACGGCGCCAAGATGCAGTATAGGAAGGAGGCAAGCCAGCTGAGACAGTGTAATACTGTGGGCAATGTTTTGCTGGGAAACTTTGGGTCTTGTGGATGTTTCCTGACATGTAGAACCTACCTAAACATTGTTGCTAGCCGAGTACACCTCCATGGAAACTGCATTCTCTGATGCCAGTGGCCTCTTTCAGCAGGATAATGCTGCCTGCCACTTCATAATGGGTCAAGAATGGCTTGAAGAACACAAGTTTGAGGTGTTGACTTTGCCTCCAAATTCTCCAGATCTCAAGTTAATCAATTATCTGTGCTGGAAAAACAAGTCTGATCCACAGAGACCCTGCCTCTCAAATTACAGGACTTAAAGGATCTGCTACTGATGGCTTGATGCCAGATACCACAGCAAACCTTGAGAGACCTAGTGGCGACCATGTCTCAACAGGTTAGGACTCTCTTGTTGGCAAAAGGGGGACCTACTCAATATTATATGAGTGGTTATAAAGTTATGGTTGATCGGTGTAGAACTTAACTAATTTCCTTTTTTAATTTCATCTTAAAATTCTTAAATAAAAATCCTCACTGTCTTCTAATGACAAACAGAAGCAGTGCATCCAGATGCCCCCTTCCTCCTTGCATGTCATAGTCCTTTCCTCTGTCTGTCTGAAGACTTTGCAAATGCCTTGTAAAGGCTTGTGTGTGTATTTTGTTTTTTCAAACAGCAGAGGGGGAAGGGTTGTAGTAGGGAAAAAAGTGCAGTATTGGAGTGAAAGCCCACTAAATTGTGACTGGACTAGTGAATGGTCGCAGTGCAATACGGATATTCACATCAATTTAGCTGAAAGATGCCAAGATAACACCCCTCTGCAAAACATACCTTATCATGTACATCCTGCAGCAGGTCTCGGATAATCAGCTGTCTTTGCTCAGCCGGAATCAGATCCTGAGGACAGGCTGTCAGTATGATCTCCACCAACTGTCTCCAAGACTCCAGGACATGACGTTTGGCATGGAGACATTGTAGGAGTCGGTTCCTCTGGACAACAAACTGCAGGATAGTATTTATTTCCTGGGGAAAGAAGGAACATAAAAGACAATTTAAAGGAATATACACCTAACTACGAATATACATAAAAAGGGTAACTGTTTACTAAAGGGTTACTACCAAGAAACTTGCCATGCAGAAAATGCTGAAACCCAAAAAGGAGATAAAGAAAATAATGCTATGAGGGATTTTTGTCTCTCTGGCTCACCTACATAGAGATCCAAGGATGCAGGTTTTTAATGTATTCATTTGTGGCTTTTGGTGGACCTCAAAAGATTCGAGCCTTTTTTAAACTATATAATAATTTTGTATATTTTGATGTTTTACACATTGAATAACAAATCAGCAATCTGGATTTACAGCACTGGAGTTCTGAGCTTGGTTCCTGCCAGGAAACAATCTATATGTTATATATATATATATACGCCAAAAGTTTTTGGACACTTAACAGTCACACCTGTATGAGTTTGTTGAATATGGAGTTGCTCTGCTTCCCTTTGCAGCTTTATTTTTTTTTAGATGTACTACCTAATCGATAGTGAGGGCCTAACTAATTGGATACAAATAAATGAATGAGTCTATAAAAACACACAGTTTATGCACACCTGATGGTCAACCCTATATGAGCTTGTTGGACACCCAACATAGCCATTAAATATGAAGTTGACTCTCTCTTGTGATTAGAACAGCCTCCACTCTACTGGGAAGGCTTTACACAAATTATCGGAGTGTCTGTGGGAATTTGTGTTCAATCAGGCAAAAGAGAATTTTTTGTTGTTGAACAAAATACCTGGCTCATAGTCAGTGTTTCAATGTATCATCAATTTTTGTAGGGTTGAGGACAGGAATTTATGCAGGTCACATTATTTCCTCCACAACAAACTCCCCAAACCATGTCTTTATAAATATGGCACAGGGGCACAGCCAAGCTGAAACAGAAAAGGCCTTTCCCTAAACTGTTCCACAAGGTTGGAATCACACAATTGTCTGTAATTTCTCTGTGCTGCAACATTAATCGTACACTTCACTGGTAATGTGAAATTTGGAGGAGTGTTCACTTCACTGCTATCAGTTGCCATACAATGTTTGCTCTCATAAAATTTGCAGTGGTCTCTGCCCAAAATAAAACATACTGGAAGCTCAGTTGTGTTCTGTTCAACAGGCAATACTATACAGTAAGTATCACTGCTCTAGAACATTAGAAGCACTGTTGGCTAACCAGATAACTTACCTCCATGATTAAAGGTCTCTGCCCAATCGCTGCCATTCCCTGTAAGGCATTAACTTCTGCCAATAGAATACGCTGGAGATGCTGGCAAACACAGACAAATTTGTAAATGAACATGTGACACACCTATTATCACTAACAGTTCCGAACAGAAAAGCTGCCTTACCCTGATGCTGCAAACTGTCTGCCCTTGGCGGTTCTTGTGCTCGCAGTTAACCATGACTTGCTCTATCTGGCTGCGGTCAAAGAAATCCAACTGTGGCAGCTCTGGGATCTCCTGGCTGAAGTCGATTGAGTCTAGAATGCTCAGAATCTTTCTACGGGCTACATAGATAATGATTGGGAAAATGCAAGTAGACTAATCAGTAACTTTACAAGCTCTGCATGATCATATTTGGACATGTCATAACATAAAGCAACAGTATGCTTTTTCAAAAAAGTGCCATTGTTTATAAAATTTAAAAGCCATCCTTGAGATCTGGTTCAGTGACTTTGCCATGGGCGAGATAACACTGTCCAATCCGCAGTAGGCAGGAGGAAGCATTTCCTCAGTCTGCTCTACCCTAGTGGCTTTTGCTGCAATACTCGCCTTTAATCTGGAGTGAACCCCTTCTCCACCACTCTGGAGTTAAAAAATGGCCAATGTTATCCAAAGCACTCCGTGTGAGCCTAGACGGTCATAGACATACCCCCTGAAATATCTTTTTTCGTATAGTTTTACAGTAAGAGGAAAGCACAAATCTTTTTTTTTTTTTTTTTTACCTTTGGAGGTGGTGTCAAAGTGAAGAAAAGCACTAATATTTCTGCTTTCATCTTCCATTCCCAATTCACCGTCTGCTGTTTGAACAAAGGGAAAAATTACACAAAACTAAGACACCATTGCAGAACTGTACTCAGTAACTTAACCAAGGTCTCAGCTTTCATCACTTTACATGGAAACTGCTAGAAAGCACTTTCAAGTTCTAAATCGGCTTGTAACTGTTCAGCCATACATCTCTATGCTTTGGCAGAAATCAAAACTGTCGCTGTAATGGAATAGATGTGTCTAAAAATTGTATACCCATGTGAGGGCATGCTCCTGAGCAGGGCTATGTGCGCCCACAGACAAACCGGACACAGTCTGGCTTGGCCACACCCCCACTGTCCCCTCACAGGATTGCACTGACTGCAGGAGCTGCTCTCAATGTGTCCTGGGAAAAGAAAAAGAGAGCCGTTTGGGGGGGCGGGGGGTTGAGGCACATACATTGGGAGGTTTCGTAACTTGATGCAGAGAATGCATTAAGGTAACAAAAAAACCTTTTGCCTTTAGAACCACTTAAAATGCACACCAAAAGATTGCAAACACTTCAATATTGCAAGTTAAAAATAGTGCATGCATGCACACTTTCAAAACTAAGCGTCTGAGGCTTACTAAAACTGAAGAGTGCAAAAATCTGTTGCAGCTGTGCATGGTGGCCAATCAGCTTCTAACATCAGATAGCTCAATTAATGTTTGACAAAAAAGCCTAAAAGCACATTGGTTTCTCTATGCACAGTTGCACCAGATTTTGCACTCTCCAGCTTTAGTAAATCAACCCCTATAAGTCTTGTGCATTTTCCAGAAGATCTACTTAGCTGCTGTACAGGTACAGAGCAGGACCTAGGATTCACTATGACCTCTTGGACAAATCTCTGCTAGGTGCACAGCCCAGAGATTATAGACTTTTCACAGGTCCGGCTTACTATGTTCTTATGCTCCTACATTTACATAATGGTCAGCAACCATCACTGCAGAGAACGATGTGTTCCCACCCAGTCCTGCCCTGTGTTCTACCTTTTCAGTTGATGAACAGTTCTGTTTGGTAAAACAAGTAACAACAAATGGCCAATAAAAGGGCAAGAGAGTGAGGATTAGGGTGGGGTTAGAACTGCCCTATTACACAGCCATTTCCTTGAAAACAATGACATTTATTCCCACAAGGAACTTCCTCTGGGTAAATGATTACATCACATCCCCGAGAAGGTAGCACCACCTTCATCACCTTCCACCATTGCTAATTAACAGACTATCCAAGGTAAAATATGACGAATTTAAAATATGGATAACACAAAAGCGAACACAGATTTGCAAGTATGCACACAAGCACAAAAGTAACTTGCAATTTTAGAGTGTCTGCATTTTCAAAAACACGCTTTAGTTCTGCTCTAACCCCTTTTTCAGCCAGAGTCATTTTTGTATTTAAAAAAATAATAATTTTAGGCCTGAAGATTGTTTTCAGAAAATATATAATGTTTTGGGAATGCAGACACCCTGGAGAATAAAATAGTGGTAGTTCCAATTTTTTATGTCACAAGATATTACCGCAAAGGTCTAGGCATCGCAAAATTTCAGCAAAAAATACACTAAAATTAATTTAAGGGCACAGAAATGCAATCAATTACTCAATTTTTTTTTGGTAAAATATAAAAGATAAGGTTGCACCAAATAAATAAATACAATCACACCAGTGAGGAGGGAGCAGGGGTCAGCTATTCGTTCTGTGTGTCTTATAGATAAGAGAGGTAAGAATCCAGGACCGCCAGTGGGGGACCCGAGAAGAGGAGGATCAGGGCTGCTCTGTGCAAAACCATTACACAGAGCAGGTAAGTATGACATGTTTGTTATTAAAAAAAAAAGAAAAAATCTGAAACTTTAGTATTACTTTAATAATTACTCTATAAAAAATATACAGTATATGTCAATCCAATGCAGAATACCAAACAAGGCAAAGAATAGTCATCATTCTGTAAAACCGGGCCTCACCTGCAAATGGTCGCACAGGCATGTCATTCAGCAGTAAGCTAAGCAGCCTATGTGTATGGGAGCGCTGGCGGTTCAGGGATGTAATGCGCAGCTCAATAGATGCTGTCTTCATCAGCCAGGACATCTGATTCAGAGCAGCGATCTCATGTTCTAATGAAGGGGGAAAAAAATTATTTATAATCCCCACCACAAGCAAATGCCAACTTCTGGCAAAATGGATGGATTAAAAAAACAATTACATTAGGAAGTACCATGTTAAACTGTGCTTAAAAAAATACCTGCCAGAAGAGGTTTTTCACATACTGCATTTTCTCACTACTACTACTACTACTACTACATTTTAATATATCTAAACCTAACAAAAATATAATATTTTGCAGCTCACAAGTCCTTATATGTGATGGCTGCTTTAGTTTTCCTTTTTCCAGGCAAGAACATTTTTTGTAAGTACAGAAAAAAAAAAAACCTGTGTCCATTAGAGTTTGTCTGATACGTCCTGTGAATTAAACAGAAATCTCAAACAACCTTAGCAGCTTTCTCAGCTATCGTCTGTAAACTACTAAGCTACCACCCTTTATGTCATGCAAATGAGGAGGGGGGGGGGCAGTTTTATTCTACATCAGGAAAGCGGCCCAGGGTGACAACACTGCTTCACTATAGATACATCTGTGTGGTTCAAGGCCAACTCAAAGAGACCCCAATCCTTGTGCCACCTTCTCCACTTAATTATTTATTTATTTCAGGTACTTATATAGTGCTGTCAATTTACACAGCGCTTTACAAATATATATATTGAACATTCACATCAGTCCCTAACCCTCAAGGGGTGTACAATCTAAGGTCCCTAACTCACATTTCATACATACACATACTAGGGCCAATTTAGACAGCATCCAATTAACCTACCAGCATGTGTTTGGAGTGTGGAAGGAAACCGGAGTACCCGGAGGAAACCCACGCAAGCACAGGGAGAACATGGAAACTCCATGCAGGAGGCACCATGGTTGGGAATCGAACCCATGACCCAATTACTGCAAGGCAGACGTGCTAACCACTAATACTCGCCTCTCTAGAAATCCTGTTATTCATTCCCTGTAATGGCTGCGGAACACCCAATGCTTCACAGAACATGGCAGCATATAATCAATCACTAGGTCTGAGCACATGATGGAGAAGGTGACACCTCTTTCCCTGAACTTTGATACCAGCCACCATCTGGTACTGTGGGGACACCTACAGCAGAGGAGGTGAAGTATAAAGCGAAGTGGAACACTGCTAATTTTCAGGAGGAATTCAAGAAAAAAAAAAAAAAAAAAAAAAAAAAAAAAAAAGAGTACATTTTTCTGCATACTGCTTGACAAATCTTCACTTGGGAGTGATGTCCAAATCAAAAACAAATTCATTTAAACCACAAAACACTTCCAGCACCCGTGAGCCTACCTGCCACAGAGAAAGGCAAGTGCTGCAGCTGGGTAATGAGGAAATCTTGGCTGGTCCGAAGATAACGCAGTGTTGGGCCAGAGGTATCGGCACAAGCACATAGCTGGTAGATCACCTGAAATGACAATGCAATGTACCGTTAACCACTAGAGCAAGCAGATCCTTCATTTTCTGAAAGGACTAATAGCTTTAAGCCAGCTGGTTCCATGACACTTTTTACCCTACCAGCACATTTGGCTTAATTTATCAAGGTTTTAGAAATAAATGTGGGCTGCCCTACTGTATAAATACTATCTTTTCGATGCTCCCTCTACCACCCCCAACAGTGCAACAACATATATCAGCAAATGTCCACATATGAGTCCATATATAGTGCTTTTCAATATATAGTGCTTTTTCAAACGTTGAGGACTATTCCACTTTGCTGATTATTCAATCCAGGAACCTCAAATCAGGATACCTCAAAAGAAATAAACTCAATATAGTGCATTATCATTACAACAGAGAAAAACACTCGTGAAAACTAAAAGTGATTCCTCCTAAACTCCCACCCGTGACAAATCAGCACTCCAAAAAAGTGATTTAGTGCAACACTCCACAACCAGTGTCACCATCCAAATAGACTAAATACCATTACCCTCTCATGGAAAATCACATGCATCCAAATGAAATAGTGCCCTCTTTCTTGTGATATAGAATACCATTACCCTCTTCCAATGCAGACCAAGCAAAAACTCCTTCAAGGCAGTCCAAAGATTCCCCCTCTCCGGAAGCTTCCTACTGCTTGCATAAGATAGTATTTATATTTTGTTTACACTTCAAGGGTGAGAGTGATACTTTTCGTAGGGATATTTAGAGTTTGCATTATATCTGCCCTACTGTAGCCTATCAAACTTAAAATTCTCAAACCTAAAAACACTGTCCCGTTGTCCATTCATGGCAAAGTCCTGACACTTCATAAACATTTTTACAATTTTTCTCCCCCACTGCTCCTACTTCTGTTGTAGACGCCAGCAAAATCCTCCACTGCTTCTTCAGTCACACCCGCCACCAGCTTGTGGGGGCGATTTACTGTAATTCAGTGTTATTTTGGCCGGTGTTTTTAAATAAATCTCTTGGATTATTTGAACTATTTGGAGTGCTCTTTTTTTATATAATTGAAAGAGATAAGAAGTTATTGATTGCTGTGATAGGGATAGCAGCTGGTACCTTGGTCATCCAGTATAAAGATTTATACATACACTAGCAAGATTTACCTCTGAAAATTCTCCTAAATAACCGGATAAGCACTGTGGTTGTGTCATTGATGAAGAGTGAACCACAGGAGTCTCACTCTTTTGTTAAAGCACAGCACAACAGATTTAAAGATTTTGAATATACTCTATATACATTATAAGCTTTGGAACATTATATATACACAGTACACTGTGTGGTGGCAGTTATTTCACAGAAATGCTGCATTTATTTAAAACTGTAAAGTGCCATCCTGCTTCTAAATGGTTGCTGTCAGGGAACAAAGACAGTCCTCACTAGACACCTTGGTAAATGGAACCCAATCTTCACAGGGAGCTCTATAGATGAGGTCCCTGTCAATCAGAAATTGGTGAAACTGCCATTAGGACAGAAGAGTCTTCACAAGTTCTCTTTGTCATACCCGATAACACAGTTCTGCCAGGTGTGGGGACTCTTTGACAGCAATTGGTCCTGTTCGTCCATCAGTCCCTTTCTTAAGGATATCCAGAATAGAGTGAAGACAGGTTCGTGGGCAGCCCAAAACACCTGCAAATCAGTGTAAGCAGAAAATCATTTTTAAAATACAAAACCAAATAGATTAAATAAAAAAAAACAGTTGAAAATTATGAGAACTCTCTCTATAGACTGCTGAAACACTGTAATCTAGGCTTGTCATTTTTCTCAGAAGTAGCTCTAAAATTGTGGCTTACAGAGCCCCCTTGAAAGTCACTGTTACATAAAACAGTTTTTTCTGCAGCCAAGAGTAAACAGTTGGCAATTAAGGCATAGACAAGTACCTGCCCATTTCCACTCTTTCCACCCAATTGCTTTTAACCCAGGATGCCAAGACACACTCGCTGGATGCATGTTATCAAGCTTTCTTGGACTTGCAGGAGAACATACCAGAATCCTGAAGATTTGTTGTATTCACTGGCTTCTTCAGCTCAAACCCTAGCAGATAGAGGGCCAAGTTTGGTGGTTTAATTTCCAAAGAGGTAATCAAAAGGTCCAGGATGTGAATTTTGGTTTTGTACTGAACAGAGGCCTGCTCACTTTCCTGTTCAGATTCTGAAAGGCAGAATTGATTGAAACATCTTAAAAAAATGAATGCACATGACAATTCAGAAAAAAAACACATCTGGATTTTGTGTTCTGAAGACTCTTTTATGCGACAACACATTTCTAAGCGGATGTTAAACTTTTCTGGCCAATACCATAGGTGGGTCGCTGTCTGCGTCTAATCCCGTACCTGGTGCAGACTAGTAAGCATGCAGTGATGTAATGGACTACCAGCAAAACATTGTACACGTGCCATTTCTCGCAATATAGGAACGTGCACAGCGGGTGGACAATACTACCACAGCATCAGGAGGCTATGCTTAACACACTCATGCTATTACAGGAAATGCAATGAGATAGCTGAAACCAACAGGATCACCAGGTATTAAAATGGTATTAAACTCAAACAAAAAACGTATTAAACTGCAGTTCACCAATTTTTAGATGTAGTGAATACATTCATTTTCTTTTTTTTCCCCTTTATTTTCACCTGGTCATCCAACCAATGCTTGTGTTATTTTTCAATTTATGTAACAGACAAAGCTGTTCACAAAGTGGCAGTTAGAGGGTTGACAAACCATTTAAAAAGGGATGCTTACAAATGATCAGCTTTAATTAACTGATGTAAAACCTTTATTCCAAAAGGAAAAACCTTTTACTGGTCTTATAAAAGATTTAGATGGAGTTCAACTTCAGTTTGTTAGTTAGGTCAGTCTAAATTTGCTGACAATGCTGCTGCCCAAAAGGTGTCTGTTTTACAGCTTCATCCAGAATGCAGACATCCTAATACAGGAAATGTGTTACTGGCCAAATCACCAGGTGAAATAAGAGAAAAAAAGGGCAAAAAAAAAAGAAACTAATATATCTAAGGATTGTTAACCAGTTAAACTCTGCCCTATAGTGGGTTTACTGCTACAGGGCAGACTCCCTGCGTAAAATCACGTATATGTACACATGATCCGCACTTCTGCCGGGTTCACAGCGGTGCTGTGATTCGGTACAGCACTGATCACTCAGCAGATTCAGGCCAATGATGTTCGGCCTGAATCTATCTGCTGATCGGCTGTACAAATCAGAGCTCAGCCTGTGCCTGTGTTTACATTACACAGGCACAGTAAATCATGCAATATTCTCTCCCTGGACCACATTCTGTTCCTGAGAGAGAATAAAGCAGATCCACTGAGTCCAAGCCGCACACTTTTACAGTAAAAGCACTGCTAGGTCACATTTAACCCCTGATCGTCCCCCAGTAAAACCTTTCACGCTCCACTCCGCTTATTCATAGCAGACACAGCCCATTCTCCTCTATGGGTGGTCAGATGTAAACCGAACACCTGTCTGTTTACACCCTGACTGCCACCCAATCCAATCAGCCCAGACGGAGGGGAACAGATGCCCCAGTGGTATGTTTTTAAGGTATCGGATTGGATGTAAATTAAATAGACATGTCCGTTTACACCCACCGCTTCACAGAGAATGGAGGATGCGACTGAGTCTTGAAAAATGGACAGACCACTAGTGTGAAAGGGGCCCAAGACTACTTTTTTTGCCTAGACATTCTCTTCAACCCATCCCTCAGATACATAGGAATCATTAGTACAGAAAACCTGCGATAATAATGAAGGGACAAAAAGCAACCACAACCTTGGTGCACTTACCTTCCATGGGATTAACAGCTTCCTCTATATCTTCGTTGTCCAAACATTCCACAAAACCAGCCATTAGCTTCTGGCTTATATTCTGCCACAAAAGAAAGAAAATTCAGGCAGATTTACAGGGAATGGACACTCCAAATGTCTGAAAGGTGTCAGTTTCTAGTAAATACTTTAAGCTTTCCAGTTCAAAGACTCACATAAAACTGGCCAGCAACTAGTGCTGCAAATATTTATTTCTACCTGGTCCTGAGTAAAATCTCCCACAAGCTTGGCTTGCATGTTGACATTACAGGATATACTATGCAGAATCTTGGAGCTTTCAAAGGCCAGTTCAGGGTTGCTGTTGCTGTGATAAAGGTACCTGAGAAACAGATGAGGAGTATTGTAAACTCATTAACAGTAGTTTGTGAACTTCTGTCAGACCTAGAAGGTTCTGCATGTTAGAGATTGGTGTGCACTGCAACAGAAGCTCTATGAATCTCTGATCTTTAAAGCTGAACTCCAGGCAGATATAAAAAGGACACAAATGAATGTAACTGTACTCATTAATGCATCATTCAATTTATTTTGTTAAATGCATGCAGTTTAGGTAACTGAATATGACTTTGTATCAGTCTCTTGTAATTTCTGGTACAGCAAAGCTCAGACTGGGAGAGGAAAAAATAGAACAAAAAGCATATCAGTTGTGCTGCAGTGCTCAGTGATAGGAGAGTAACAGAGATGAGATCATTAGTCCGCAACTTCACCTTTCTCTGCTTATTCACAGGCACATGCACATTTATCCATGCATTATGCTTTTGAAGACACAGCAAAAAATACATTTTGATCTGCCAGAAATAAACTCACCCAAATCTTGTGGGCTGACAACACAAAACATTTTTGTGGACTGAGTGATGTCAGTTTTGCCCAGTGTCTTTTGCTAAACTACTCAACCACCCTTACTCTCAGATCTCTACATCATAAAGACTCATGATTCTGTGTTTCAAGATAAAACATGAGGTGTGCAGAAGACATGAGTTTCTAAAAAAGGTTTTTCTATTTAATAAACAGATATGAAAAAAAAAAAAAATATATATATATATATATATATATATATATATTTTTTTTTTTTTTTTTTTTTTTTCTCCCAATGATACGTGTGGTTAAAATGGTAGAAAAATAGGAGAAGTTCATTGTCAGGGTTTACATACAATAACAGCAACAGACAACAAAAATCAAGGCTCTTGCCTGCTGAATAGAGCTGCACTGTGAGGAAGAACTATGTAAATCTCAATACTGAACAGCCAATACAAATCCTCTGGCCAGTAAAGTGTATGTAAAACCCAAAACAATGAATATCTCTTATCTGCGCTCTTTTTGTCTGCTAAATATACCATTGAATATACAATTGTATTTTGGTTTTTTTTTAGTTATATCTGTTAAAAAAAAAAAGTGCACAAGAAGGGTTATGGAGATTAAGAGGGGGAGAGGAGGTCTGCTCTTTGCAATTTCATAACATCATATATCAAATAGTGACTGTGCTAGCAAGATAGAAAAAACCTGCTGATGATTCAGGCTACTAAATCTAATAGAATACACACAGTTCAGTCACAAGATATTAAAAGTTCACTTTGCACAGGATGCAGCTTTTTCAATGCCAGCGAGACACCCACACTGTAAAAACACAAATCAACAGAGAGCAAGCGCAAACCACCCTAGTGTAATTAATCCTTATATTAAATAAGTCACAATATGTTATGCACTCATAAAATCAGATGCTTAAAGACTAAAAGTGCACACCATAAGGTGGTTTGGGCTCTCTCTCTGTTGATTATGTCCTTTCAGAAATGAAGTAGACAGGGCTGACAATGCATGCTTTGGAATTTAGAACCAAACACATATTAGGGGAATTAATAGATTGGAACAGGCATAAAACCTGCGCCACTCTTCTAAACAGACAATGGAGCAGATCCTGCTCCTAATTAAAGTGGTTGAGAAGGTAAAAGTTTTTTTTTACCTTATTGCATTCTCTGCACGAGTACCCACCAAAAAGAAGCGGTTTCCTATGGTGGGCACTTGGCGGAGGAGAGGAGCCAGGAGAGGAGGATCAGGGCTGCTCTGAGCCAGACACGACATAGAAAACTGTAGAGCTGGATCATGTAGAAGATTGATAACCCCTGAATTTGCTAGGGTTAATAGCCAGGGAAAAGGAGCTATTTCATTCCTACAGTATACTGAAACCCTTATTGTCTAGGGCCAGAACCCAGGCCAGTTTCTACTTCATTCTGAAATAGAAACTGGTGCAGGTGGTGCAGATAGACCTGATAAAAGCCTATATGCTTTGTTAATGTGGCGCACATGACTTATGCAAGTTAATTTACTTACTGTGTTGTCATGTTATCAAGTTTTTGTCTGTACTTGCAGCATACTTAAAAGAAAACATGGGGAAATGTGCATATATTACAGAGATGTGTTTAATAAATTTTACAGTGACATACACTTGAAAAAAAAAACACCTCCTGTATATGTATTTCATATTTGTATTTAGTGGTTTGCCTGAAGTTCAGCTTTAATGCAATTACTATTTTTTATCTATCTGAACAGGTACTACGAAAACAATGAAAAGTTACTCCCTGGCACACCTTGCAATATTCACCACATGATCCGCCTTCTTTGATCGGAGGTTTATGCCCTGGAGAAGCTGTTCTAGAGGAGTGACAATGAGGGAGAGGTGGCTTTCCCGCAGTAGGTCCATGAAGAGATTCTCTTTCTGTAGGGCAAGGTTCAGGATCATGAAGCAATAGGCCGCTGCTTTCTCCAGGTGCGTCTTACCTAGAAAGCATAGGTGGGGGGGAAGATTTTAAAATGAGCTCAGGGACCTGGTACACATGAGCAGTATGTGAGACAACATTCAGCTACTCCAGCCTCAGGATGCTTTTGGAATAACTATAATGCAATTAAAAATCTTACGCCTACTTTTCTTAGAAAGAAAACAAAACAAATATATAAATCCAAATGCGTGAAATCCTCACATACTATGGACCTGTGGTGCTAGCATTCAGGAGTATTTCCTGATTCACAGATACTCATATTTCTCCAATGATACCCTACTGCTCCCTTTTCCATCATATGGGGAAGCATATTGACCTTTTCCTATGAAAAAGTGCTTGTGTGCAGACCTAGAAGCCAAACATTAGGTCCAAACACTGTCACATACTGAGGGGTGAAACTCTCTCTAGGGTCCAACACTGGATAGACCCTGGTTATTTTGGTAGTCGCTCAAGAGGTGGACTGGCAAAGGGCTCTGAATTAGTAAAGTGACATTTTCCCTTTAAAAAGGAATTCATAGAGGTTTTGTAGATCGTTATTTATTATGGTTGGGACTAGCAAAACAGGACAGATGGGTGGCGAGTGCCAAACTTTGCTGTTTTAAAAGCAATAAAGCCTCTGGCAGAGTCTTGATATTTCCAGGAGTGTTGAATGCCTGTGTCTCCCACTGCAGTTCATATACAATGGTTCCTCCTGCCAGCCCCTATGTCGCTACGTGGCTCCGTAGTTGCTAAATGCAGCAATGGGACACCAAGCATGCAGCAGGAGACAAGGAGAGGCAACACTCCAGGAAATGTCAGATGCTGAAAACTTTCCCAAAGGATGTACTGTTTGAAGACTGCAGAAACTGGACCTACTAAGTACCTAAGTAATACCTAAATATTCAGAGTCTTCTATTGCCGCCTTAAATCATTGCATTTACATTTGAGAAGCATCAGCATCGCCTAAAACATCAAGTCAAAAAGCTGGGGGGAAAAGAGTAGTTGCCAATAAAGAACATCCCAACAACATGGATAGTCTGTGTCTTTCTAAACCTCAAGCACCCAGGAGGTGATATGGGAAGCCAACAATGCTTTTTACGTTCTGCTCTACAAAAGATAACACCAGCAATAGTTTTGCATTGTTGGCAATGAGCAATTTTCATGGTTCAGACCGACTCACCTATAAAGTTTAGAGAAATCAGTGGAGAATGTGCTTTTAAGTTGAAAGTGTTTCTCAGTTTCAGTAAGGATGTCTTTAGACAGCCCATTAAATGAGAAAGAGGAAAACTTAAATGATGACTTCCAAAATGCACTAACCCACAGCAAATCAATTAGGCTGTTGATTGAAATTAACCTTGTGGCTATAGTCTACTGCACTTGATGCACTACAATTTTACTTTAATGCACTTATTAAAGTGAAAATAAAGGCAAAACATATTTTTTTTCCATTTTGGATAGAATAAGGGAGGATTATAATCCCTGTCAGTTTGTTCGCCATCTGTGTCACATTGGGAGAGTTTCCTCCACTCCATCCCATATCTAAAAAAGGAAGTGAGAGGAAATCCCTCCAAAGTGAGGAACCCTGGGGTGTCACCAGAACTAGTGTCCCAATTGGAAGATTTCCCCTCCATTCCTGTTCTAGTGTCAACCCAGAATTCGAGATTTTCATTTACTTTCACTTTTAAAAATAATGGTAAACAGGGTAAATCTAAGAGATGCACAGACAGCAATAAAATGCTAACAGGTGTTCTAATCCCTCTTCACTCTATCCAAAACTAAAAGAAAACTGAAAAAAAAAAAAAAAAAAAAAAAGAAGAGGTTTGCCTTTAGTGACAAATTTCATTCAATGAATCCATTTATTTCTCCATATTACCTGGAAAAGGAGAGTAGGTGTCCAACTGTGTAACACCCTCTTCCAGCAGGCTAAGGCACAGTGACAACATATGGGAATCATTAAGTAGGTGATGCATAAGGGTGAAACCAGGGGGCTTAAAAGCAGCTCTCTCTTCTCCTGAAAACAAAGTGAAAAGCTTCAATGAATGTTGAATACCAAACATGCAGCTGTCAAAGAAAAAAAAAAAAGTTCAGTTTAATTAAACGATCAGCCAACTCAAAACTTAGGTTTCATATTTTGGCAAATACTTAAATCATCCACGGATTTCTCTCCAACTTACTCCAGTAAAGAAATCTCACCTTTTAATTCCAATTCCACAGCTGAAAGCATAAAATATGCTAGGGTATGATTTCTCCACGAAAGAAAAACTTATAAAGCTGGCAGGTAATTCGGCATACCAATAAAAAGACATTGGGGGTTAATTTACTAAAACTGGAGAGTGCAAAATCTCGTGCAGCTCTGCATCGTAGAAAATCAGCTTCTAACTTCAGCTTGTTGAATTAACAAATTGAAAGCTAATTGGTTTCTATGCAGAGCAGCACCAGATTTTGCACTCTCCAGTTTTAGTAAATCAACCCCAGTGTCTTAAATATTAGTTTTGGGTGCACAAATTCAAGTATGCAGTTAAATTAGGACTTTCATCCTGGGTTCACACTGATGCTGTCCGGAATTTGCAGCGTTTTCTGTGTGAATTCCGCACCACATCCGAATCGCACCCCGTTCATGTGAACTGCTGCGTTCATGTATGTTAACACCCTAAAATCGGTCTGCAAAACGCAGTGCGATGTGCAGAATTGGATCGCATAGGTGTGAATACCCATGCAACCCAATTCTAGTGCGGACCAAAAAAAGGCTCCTGCACCTTTTTGGTGTGGGTGCAGTGTGATTAGAGCCATACAAAATGTATGGCTCCAAATTGCACCGTACACAAATCGCATGTTATTTGCACAGGAATGTGGTCTTGTTCCTGTGCGAACCACATGTGATAAATGTGAACTCGGGCTCAAAATCAGACTCACCAACCAGCTTCTCATATTTTAGACTTCGTGGCTCTTTAAGCACAACTAGAAAAAAGAATAAATGCAATATATAAAGGCCTACCAGTCTTCAAATGCAACAGCTGCATTTGTTTTCTCCTTTATTTTCACTTGGTGATCCTGCTAGCAAAACATTTCCTGTCCTGGAGTGACAACACTCACTTACTGCACTGCATCTATGGATGCGCACCCTAGGACAGAACATTTTAGAGTTACAAAACACACTCCCCTCCTTTGTTCTTCATGGTTTAGGTGAGATGTCCTGTAATTCTAGGAAGGTCTGATAACACTGAATGAAATTACCATGCAGCCAAGGCAGACAGCACAGTAATTTACAAGCTGACTGGATTTCTGGTAGGATCAACATGCTTTTTTGCACTTATTGAACAGATATAGCAAAACACTTTCACTGGTATATTTAACAGACCAAAATGTAACAAATAATAGAAGTTCATGGTTAGGGTTAACATGGACCCATGGCTTCATCAGATTCCCTGCTAGCGGTGAGAAGAATGGAGATGTCATGTGGTTTTCACAGACTCTAGGGCACCCAAGGCTTGCTGCTTACAAACCAGGATTTAGGGTGGGGATAGGTTTAGCTTACCTTTAGCCAACAAATTATTAAACCCACATGATCCAAAAAAAAAAACATATACAAATCACTGAAAGTCTTTACTATTGAGCAGAAAATAGACACAAACCTTGCATCTCCACATATTGGTCTACAAAATCCTCAGGCTGTGGTTCATAATCTCTGAGGAGCTTGTAAAAAACATCAAGCACAGCTTCTGCTACCTCCCACTGCAAAATTCAATAAAAACATTAAAATACACAAGCAGGGTGCAGACATAGCACTTTTACATCTGAAGCTATCAATGTGTTTGTATGTAGAGCCAAAACTTTAGCTTTGGATATAATAAGGAAGTGTTGAAACCCTTCCTGGGTTTCTACTGCTATCTGTATCCCCAGTTGAGAAAATGATGGGAAAACCAAAATTTTAGAGATATCACCAGACTAGGCATAGAAGGGAAATCTTCCAATGGGGGAAGTCAATCTGGGGAAACCTGTACGAGATTTCCCCTTGCTATGGAAAGGTGGAAATGTTTACTTTCTGTTTTGATTCTGGGACAGTAAGTAAAGGGAGATGTCCCCCCTCCCCAATCGGACACAGACAGATTAATTTAAAACACGCACACCACAACAGAGGTCTTAGACTATGTTCACAAGCTAAAATGGGAAATGATCACTTTTGATATTTGCAACTATGCCATAACAAACTGTAGATGCCATAACCGAGTGTTTACAGTGCGTTTGTTGTGTGTTTCAGAAGAAAAAGTGAATAAAAAGGCAGTTGCGAAGCATCAATGCCTGCCAAACTCTGCAGGCACCATTATTTTTTTCTTGTCACAATGCACTACAATGCTATTGCTACCATGCATACAGGTAAAACTTCAAATCTCTTAGCTATGAGCTTAAGAAACTTCACAATATTTGTTTTTTCAAAGTGAAGCCCCCCTGCAATATAAATTTAAAAAAATAAATTTTCCTATTCACCTCTGATCTTTTCTGGCACTGCAGGGTCTGTCAGTATTTTTGCCATGCAACAATTCCAAGGCTGTTAGATGCCTGTGCCCCTGCCAAATGCTGTGGTTCCATTCTCCAACCTCTATGTCACTACAGAACTCAGCAGAGAGAAAAACAACACCAAGCAGCACAGAAAACAGGCATCTACCAGAATTGACAAACACCAAAGATACCGCTGGAAGCTGCAGTGCTGGAATGGAGTGTAGGTAGGAGACATGAGTCTTGAGTTCTGTACAAGAGCTCTTTTTTCTTTTTTTATAAACAGGGAGGCTTCAGCTTGTTCTTTAAAGTGACCCTGTCAGATAACAGACTGCAGATTACCAAATAAATACAGCAAAAATGATAAATTTAATGCAAACCATAATACACAGCGGTTTTATAATACAACCTGGAACACATGCAAACTCCTAGGAATTGGTAGAAAGGGATAAACAGTGGCATAATATGAGGCAACATTCAAGATGGCCTGTACAATCCATTCACAGTGTACCTTTTCTGCAGCCCTTCTGTAAGCTCTAGTGTTGAAACGGAGGAAGACAGAGTCTCTGAGAAAATCCAGGTATGGCTCAAACCCAGGAGGTCGCAATCCAGCTCCCAGGTTGGATGGAAAAGAGCTCTCCACCAAGGTGCCAATGAGGTGGCAGAAGGCTCGGGTGAGCGGGTACTCCTCAGCACGAGACTCAATTTCATTCAACTCCACCTTGCCAAAGAAACCACAATTAAACCAAAAATTGCAACACTTTCCTGAAGTTCATGATGAACACTTTCACCTCTCACTTCTTAAATATCCTCTTCATCACCCAGATTCAAAATTCTAATATACTTTATTTAACAAAAATGTACACAGCTACCAATTGGTACTGAGCCTTTACTAGAAGTATAAAATCTTTGGTTTACATAAAATATATATTTTTTGTTAGTCATGTAATTCTGATACACTTCAGTTCCTATTTTGCATCAAAACTGAACTTGTAGTTGAAATCAACTAAATACATTATGGGTGCATTAAAATAAAAAGGTATGCAAAGTTTTTCTTGTGGTCTCTCTGCAGAGGTCTGAAACCCCAGGCTGCAGAGAACACAGCAAAGACAGCACTCCTGACGAAGTCATATTTTGCTTTTTTATTAGTTTTAAAGTATTGATGAGCTGCTGTTGAAAGACAAGGACAGCCTGCACAATGGAGGGGAAGAGAGGAGTAAACAGAGTGGATCCAGAGAAAAACATGAGTTTTGACTAACTTGGAAATAAGTCGTCAAAATCATCTGGTGAGTCAAAATCACAGCAGGCTTGTTCACACGGATGACCTGAGGGGCGGTAACAGCAGGTTTAAAGGCCCTCCAACCTTGTATCTGAACACAGGAATTCAGCCACTCGGCTGTACACATGCCACGGTAAAAATGAAACATGTTGCATTTGGCAATACACACAGTTGTGGTGTGCTGGGTCATCATTTCGAGGGCTAAAACAGGTGGTGAGGAAGCAACATATTGCCTCCTTAATGCATAGCAAACACTTTCTGAAAAGTGATCCAATGAAGATCACCGTTTACAGGGGCAGCAGGAATAGCCCATGGTGGTGAATAATTCACAAAATTGATAGATGGCACAGAGGAGTAACTGGAAAACCGTTTAAGCACATTTTACACTGGGCAATCTGTTTCCAAGGACACTGTTTTGGAAGATAATGAATGGTTTCAAACATGACTACTTTTCTATGACGTGCAAAGTTTTATTAGTATGTGCATTTATAGTACAGCAGATGATTGTTACAATTCCAATGTATTATTTGTGACATTTGTTTGATGGTTGAGATACTTTTAACACCTAGTTAGCACTTATTTAGTTTGAGAGCAATAGGAGTATTGGACTACATACACTGGCTGATCAAATATTTGCATTCAAAAGAAAGTTCACAAGCTTATTATGACATGATACCACTATGGCTACACAGACACAAATTAAATAGCTATAATTACCTCTATTCCAGCTGCTTGTCTTTGTCCAGGGGCTCTGACGGTTTGCAAAATCTGAGTAAATTAGGAAAGACATTGATAAATGGACGTTATGTAAAAAAAAAAAAAAAAAAATCCATCACACTTCACGATTCGGCAGAACACATGTCAACAGGGCAGCACAATGGCTAAATGGTTAGCACTTCCGCCTGGCAGTACTAGGGTAGTTGGTTCGAATCCCGGCCACGGCACCTCCTGCCTGGAGTTTGCATGTTCTCCCTGTGCCTGTGTGGGTTACCTCCGGGTACTGCGGTTTCCTCCCACACTCCAAAGACATGCTGGTAGGTTAATTGGATCCTGTCTAAATTGGCCCTTTTATATGAATGAGAGTTAGGGACCTTACATTGTACGCCCCTTGAGGGTTAGGGACTGATGTGAATGTACAATATATATGTAAAGAGCTGCGTAAATTTAAAGATAAGAACCGCTGTGCTAAGGACGTCACACTATGGCAAATCCTATGGCACTCTTCACACTGATCTGTTGTAGTGAAAAAAAATCCTTGCTGCATTATTGGTGCATGTTTGTTCAGTTAAAAAAAAAGACGCATCCCTCCATTGAAATGAATGGAAAACTGTATCAACAACACACCTGTTTGAAGTGATTTGTCCAGTGGGGAACAAAAGCAAATGCATATAAAATGCAACACACCGCAGAAAAAAAGTGTAGAAATACACTGCAAAACCTCATATGCGTTTTTGATATGTTTTTGCAGTAAAGCAGTGTGAAAGTATCTTAGAGAGGGAAGAAGGTGGGTCCAGTTTGTAACTGCACTAAGGCCAGATTTATGTTGTTGAGGTGTGTTACTGCACCCAGGTTAACAGGATATTTTGCACGTTTACCCTGTTAGTAAAAGAAAAAAATTTATTGAACATAAAACATCAAAGACAAGCAATTCCTGGGAGATTTTAGAAGACGTACCTGAGTGTATTCCAGGGACTGCCAGAGAGGAGCGGCGATTTCTGGAGACTTCCCAAATGCAGCTAGTATTTTCAGCAGTTCGGCTTTCAGAACAGGAGCGATACTACACTGCAGCAATCCCAGCATCACGACTACCGGTGTCCACTGGGATGCTCACAAAGAGCCAGACGGGCGCTCTCACTCTGATCGGAATTACAAACAGTCAAACCCCAGCACAGCTAAACCATACCAATACTACCTGAAAAAAGGTAATAGGCACAAACGACTGTGGCCCAAAAAGCACTAAACCTCTTCCACAACATATTAAAACCCAGAATGCAGTTCTACAGGATCTTGCCTGACATTCCACAGATCACAATGTAAACTGAAAAATGCACAAAGTCCTGAAAAACAAAGACTTTCTGCTTGGCACTAAAGGGAGGTAGAAGTAAATAATATAATAAATATAAATAAATACACACTGATAAAAATAAGCTGACAATAACCACTTGCCCTCCAGAGGATTTACCCCCCTTCCTGACCAGGCCATTTTTTGCATTAGGGTGCAGTGTTACTTTAACTGACAAATTGCGTGGTCATGCAACACTGCACCCAAATTAAATTTATGTCCTTTTTTTTCCCACGAATTGAGCTTTCTTTCGGTGGTATTTGATCACCTGTGCAGTTTATTTTTTTGCGCTAAAAGAAAAAAAGGCTGACAATTTTGAGAAAAAAAAACCCAATATTTTGGACTTTTTGCTATTAAACATGTCCAATAAAAAAAAATTTTAAAAATAAAATTTTGTCAGAAATGTAGGTAAAAATGTATTCTGCTACACGTCTTTGCTAAAAAAAATCCCAATACATGTAAAATTGGCTTACGTGAAAGCTATAGCATATACAAATGGCGGTATAGATACTGGGATTTTTTTTCTACTAGAATTGGCGATCAGCAACTTTTAGCAGTACTGCGGCGGGCATTCTGACACTGGGGGGGGGGGGGGGGGGAACTAATTTGGTGTCACTGACATCCCCAGTGACACCATTACAGTGATCAGTGCTAAAAAACAGCACTGACATTGTACTAATAGCACTGGGCAGAGAGGGGTTAATGTGAGGGGGGATCAAAGGGTTAACTATGTGTAGGGAGTGTTTTACTAGGGGGCGGGGGTGTGCTTCACTGTAAGCACACTGATCAGGATGGCTGTTCTGTACATAGTCATCCTGAGCAGTGTGCCCGAGCTGACAGGGAGGAAGACTGTTTGTAAACAAAAAAACAAACAGTCTTCCTCCCCATCGGTGATTGTCGGTAATCACCGCGTGCGCCCCCTACCCGGAAATGCAAAATCACGTGCGGCACAGTGTCTTAGTGGTTAGCACGTTTGCCTTGCAGTAAATGGGTCATGGGTTCGATTCCCGACCATGGCGCCTCCTGCATGGAGTTTGCATTTTCTCCCTGTGCTTGCATGGGTTTTCCTCCGGGTGCTCCGGTTTCTTCCCACACTGCAAAGACATGCTGGTAGGTTAATTGGATGCGGTCTAAATTGGCCCTAATATGTGTATGCATGAATGCAAGTAAGGGACCTTAGATTGTACACCCCTTGAGGGTTAGGGACTGATGTGAATGTTCAATATATATGTGTAAAGCGCTGCGTAAATTGACAGCGCTATATAAGTGCCTGAAATATATATATATATATATATATATATATATATATATATATATATATATATATATATATATATATATATATATATATATATATATATACACACACATACATACACACACACACACATACGTGATTTTGGGACCCAAGGCGCAGTGTAGCAGTATATCTGCTATACAGCGGTGGGGAAGCGGATAATGATCATTAAAACAAAACAAGAAAACAACAACTCTGTTTACCCATTCAATGACGGTGGCGGTGAGCTGCAGGCATGCGATAAGCCCATCCATTTCACGTTGAGTGATTCCCCTAAGCGGTGGGTGGCGTAGGTGAATACTGTCTTGGCTGGGTAGGTCTCTCCGTAAGTGTTCATGGTACAGTCCAAGTGAATGGAAAAAGTGATCCCAAGAAACAGGACTGCCCCCCGCTGCCTGCAAGTTCTCCGCTGAGGTCAAATAAAAAAAGTTGTAAAAACATTTTAGTTTTTTTTTCTCTTAAAGCAAAGAAACAATATTTAATATAGGGTGCAATCATGACATTGACATTGATTTTCCAGAGCCTTAAGGCCCCATTCACACCAGGGTGTTTTGATTCTGGGCAGAATTCAAAATGCTCTGCTAAAATGACAACTCGCGGAACTGCGATTACAGTTCTGCTGCGGTAAATGGCGCTGCAATCAAAGCAAACCATGTCACCCAAAAGAAGTTCCTGAACTTCTTTTGGGTGACATGGTTGGCACAACAAAAAAACCTTTTTAAATTCATTCATTAAAATGAATGGCACCTAAACACTCTGTTGTTCGATTTATTTTAGCAAAGTGTTTTTAAATCGCTGGCAGAATTGCGGTGATTCTGCCCACGATTCAAAATACCAAAGTGTGAATGGGGCCTTGGGGAGTTTTAAAGGCAAAACCCAGTTCCGGCTGCTCACTTTATCTAGGTCTAAGTGAAAATTGAGATGGGCTGTATGTGCCAAGTAAAGGACATTTCTTCATATTTTTGCCAACCGCCCAATTGAGCTTTCAGTTTCAAATCAGTTAAATACATTTCAGGTGAATAAAAATAAAAAGGTTGCAAAGTCTTACAGTTCATTTTCTTTAGAAATCAGTCACCGCCTCCTGTCAGCATGCAATCTACAGGGAGCATTCATTTTTCTGATAGGAGAGCTCTAGGTCTAACTCAGCAAAAATTGTATCCGATCTCTGTATACAGGCCTCTGCTTCTACACGCAGATCAATGGTCATTCTCTGTAGTATACTGGCCATGGAGAGGCTTTTCTACTTAGGCTATGACTGACTTCTAAGGAAAACAAATAGACTGTATCTTTTGTTTTGATGTACCTAGAATGTACAGGATTTAGCTGAATCTCAAAGTTTAATTTGACTTTACTAACTAGGTTTTTTTTTTTTTTTTTGCTTCTGTGGACAATAGCCATTACTTTTCTTCTTTAAGCACAACAAAGTCACAGAAAACCAGGCACACAGTATTTTAGGCCACATCATTATAAATATATACATGCAGAAACCAACCTATCTAAGCACTCACCATGGCTGCTACCATTGGCTTTCAGGAAGCTGAAGCAGTAGTGAGAAGAGCGCGGGCCACTGGCCAGTCCCTGTAGCATCTTCAGGTACGGGATGTACAGAGTGGGTGGTAATAAATCACTCATCTGTCTCACAAATTTGGACAACAACACCTGAATTGAAAGTGCAATTTAAATCCAGAGACAAATTTGTATGAGATATTGGACCCCTCGAACAATAGGTAATGATCTAAAAACATGCAACATAAACTTGTCACTAGAGAAATAGGAGGGTTGCCATATTTACTTGGCTTTTAGAATGACCCACTACTCTCAGCGTTAAAGACCAGGAACAAGTAGTCCACAAACGGATTTGCAATGCCTCCTCTTTTGGCAAGGTTTTTTTGTTTGTTTGTTTTTTAAGCAGAGACCTGATTTTTTTCCCCCCCCAGTCACCATTTACAGAAATGTTACTTTTTTTACTACAAAAAAGAAGATCAAGCAAACTTCAAACAGATTTCCACTTAGAAGAAGTTAGAAACCTTTCCTCTTGCTCCCCATAAAGTGGGAAGGCAGGGGGATCTTGCATAATTTGGAATCCAACTTACAGACTACTCATTTATTTATGGGTCATCAAAACCAATAATATGCAACTCAACCTACCTCACCCCTCCCCTCACCCCCACCCACCATCATCCTTGAATAATCAACTAATGTTGTGTGGTACAGTTGCCAAGAGACTGACAGCATGTTTACAAGATTATCTTAAGTCATTGTCAACCTGATATTACAGAAATGTAATCAATGTACCTGACGTTGAGGCGGTCTTTGATGTGGAACCCCTAGATAAGACCCCATTAAAGTGGTGCTTTGGAGTGGTTCAGCTGGACACCAATATTCTAGAGCCAGTTCAAGATGGAAGGGATCTTTCTTGTACAGCTCACTAATCTGAAAGAGTAAAACCCAAAATAAATAAAAAGGATTATACTTGGTGACTTAAAGGTCGGAGAAGAAGCCAGAGCACAGAGCGAAGAAAACACGCTAGAGGTGCTGAATGCTGAAGAACACTGCAGGGAATGGACATTTTGATTTCTTTAGAGACCTTCTTTAGAGTCTCTTTAAGAAAGCAGACATATTTTCTAAGCAGATGTTTCCTCATCTATATTCTGCTATTTAGTCCCTCCACAGGCTTTGAACCCAGTTGTGGATACTACCATTAATAAGTTTTGTTATGCCATAAAAGAGCCTTATTTATGAAAGGGTGCCAAACTAGAAGTTCTTTCAGCCCCAAATCCAATCACTTTTCAAATCTTGTAGACTTCACCTCCACAACATCTCCAAGATACGCCCGTTCTTACCCTCTGAAACCACTAAGCAACTTATTCACTCCCTTGCAATATCTTGCCTCGACTATTGTAACTCCCTCCTCATTGGCCTACCTCATCACAGGCTATCCCCTCTTCAGTCGATCATGAATGATGCTGCCAGACTCACCTTACAACCGTTCTGTATCTGCCATCCCTCCACTGGCTTCCCATTGCCCAACAAATAAAATTCAAAACATTAACATATTAAGACATTTATAACTCTGCCCCAAATTACATCACCAATCTTGTCTCCAAATATCACCTAAACTTTTATTATAGACAAGTCTGAATAATGTGTTTGGGAAATTGGGGGGGGGGGGATTAGCGTACCAACAACATCACATGTTCCAGATCTCGTCGTAGTGACATGGGGGGGTCATTACCCATTTGTATGCTCATGTGAATTAAACGAGCATCTTCTTCTGCCCGGTTTCTTAGCTGTTTAACCTGCAAAAACATAAAAAAAAAAAAAAAGAAAAATCTTCAGTAAAGTATACTTAAATGATAAGGTTACTGATTAAATGGAGGGACACTGTTGCACTGACAAGAAGAGGGAAGCCATATATACAACATTGAGTCCATTTTATTTTAAACGAGAAGTGCACATCGAACAACTGGCATTGTAAGAAGTGAGCTTTTAGAAATCGAAATACATGAATTATAGCAAGAATCATCTGGTCTGGTGAACCGCAGTTGGTATAAACAAAAAAAAAAAAAACAAAACACAAAAGGCAGTGAACTCCTAATCCTGCCTTACTAACACTGCTACTCTTGACTCAATTTACTTTTCCAGTCCCTCTGCATAATTCATTTCAGCTAGGGTTGGCAAGCTTTTCACCCTGTGTGGATTCCCGCTCTGAAAAATGCAGGGGGCAGTGCTCTAGTCTAGTGAACATACCAACTGCATTTCGGCAGAGATCCTTCACTGTTCAGATAAACAGCTATGCCAGAGCATTTTCACATGGAGTAACAACATTTCTTCTAGCCTCCATCACTCAGGGCCACTAGGGATTTTGGTGACAGAGGAAGGAAAGAGTGGTAGGGGAACAATGGCCAGGCGAGTATCAGTAGGTCGGATGGGGCCATTTCCAAATAATAATTTCACTTTGTCCTGCGTGATGATTTACTAAAGAAGTTGAGAATCTTCAGTCAAAAAACTGTCAGACTTCAATTTTCCAATCATGTGAAAAACAAAATCCTTTTGAACGAAAAAGGTAATAAAAACCTCTTCTGTCCACCACTATAAACCTACTTTTCGTTACTTACTAAGTGAGCCAAATTTCTCTGATTTTAGGTCTAAAACTCTACTAATGTGCATTCCCCCTAAGAGATCCCCCCCAAAGAGATCCTTAGTAGCCAACAAGGGCACTAAAACAAGAGTGTAGTCTAAAAGTGTTGTCTTTTATTATTGATGTAAATAAATGGCGAGAAGTATCTGACATACTTTCATGGGCATTCGCGTCAGAAAATCCGTGATGAGAGAGTGAATCCTGCGGATGAAGAATTCTTCGTGGAAAAAGGTTTCGGCACACACCACTGCGTCTGTAAGGAATAGGAAGGCATTGCCTCCTATAGCCATTTCAGCTATTACTTCATCGGCCTCTGTGAATTCTGCAAGAGCTGGCAGAAAACAGAAACATTAATTCAGAGAACATATTAAAGCTGAACTCTAAGCAGATATTAAAAGGCACACATAGATGCATCTCTGTATTCATGAATACATCATTAAAGTTAGTGTTTAGTGAAAAAAAAAAAAAGGGGGGGATTTTTGTTTAACCTGTAAAACCCAGGTCCAGACATAAGAACTGATCTCAAAGGGTCATCACAGCATACAATGCAAACGCCCGGGGGTCCTGTTCCTGGATGTGAATCTGTCAAGCTTTGCATTGAGCACCTTCTTTGAACACCTCTGGTTGAAAAGCCTACTCCCTCTGGAGTCAGTTTTTGACAGCTGAGAAAATCTGTCTGGCAATTTTTCATGCAGGGAATGTGGACAGCAGATAGGGTATGGACATGATGTTCTGCCTTAGACAGGGTGAGATCCACGTCTTCCTGACTTCTGGTGCCTCCTTGATGATTTATATATGCCACAGCACTGTCTGAATTAACCCTCACTAGGAAGTCCTTCAGCTGCACTAGTGGATCAGGGCTAGGCAAAATGCCCCCAATTCCAGGATGTTGATGGGCAACAACCTTTCCTGTGGTGACCAAGTCCCCTAAACCGAGAGATTGTCCAGAACTTCACCCAGGTCCACCAGGCTGGTGGCAGTTGCCAGGACCCTTGAGGACAGGAGGAGGAATGTTTTTTTCATCACCAGGATTCAGGAAGATATCCATAATTCTAGAGAGAGTTTCATTCTAGGGTGCAACAACTGTGTTTCCTCCTGCCCCATGTTGATTTCATTGAAGGAGCTTGGAATGAAACTGGGTAAAAAGAACTGCCTCAAAAGGAGGTTGCCCCCTTTCCCAGAGGCTTCATGCAAAGCTGAATTGAGGGATTTGTCAGAGATTAAAGCAACTCCATCGGCGTTCTCAAAGCAAGATATTTGTCCTGGGGGAGAATCACTCTAGATTGGACCGTGTCCAGTATCAGGCTTAAATATCCCAAGTTTTGGGTTGGGACTAAGGGCAAATTCTGCAAATTCAGGACTCATCTTAACCTCTCCAAAGATTCGACATTGAGCTCCAGATGCAAAGTGAACTGCTCCCTCAGAAGCCAAGACTGGAACGATCACTCCATCTGACAGTAGGTGATTGAGAGCTGAAGAAAGGACAGTTCTTTTTTGTAAATTCAAGAAATCTGAAAGCATAAAGCACAGAGGGGAAAGGCTCTGGAATTCCAGCTTGTACCCTTGAGCCACTATATCCGCAATTTCTCCCTGCCAAACATCCATTAAGGCCTGCAAATGTCCCCCCACTAAAGCAAGTGGGGGCACCCTTTCATTGTGAAAAGGACTTCCTATGAAACTGTGAGTGGGGCTTGGGCTAGGAGCCTGAGGCTTGTAATTGGTGAAAGGAATGCTTTTTGAAAGTAAAATGCATGGTAGGTTTTTGCATCACAGGTTTTAATTTCTTTTTAAGCGTACTCTTACTCACAGCCACCTTCTGGATGTGATCATCAAAAGCAGGACCAAACAAATGTTACTCTTGAAAGGGTAAGCGTTCAACATACTTCTTGGAGGGTAATTTTGCTGACCAACACTTGAGCCAGAGAATCCTGAGCATCTGTACTAACATGACCCCCAGTCGAGAAAATTGTTCAATGTCTTTTAAGGCATTCACTGAGAAACTAATGGCATTTGGGAAATTCTCCAATTATCTGCCCAACCCGATAGGTCCGCTAACAGGGTCTCTCTCATCATCCAACGGGTCCAAACCCTAAGGCTTTGGCACACTCCTACAGCCACAATTGCCAGTTGTAGAGCTGTCCCCACCAGAATAAAGGAAGTCTTAAATAAGGCCTCCAGAGGTTTGTCCAAAGCGTCTTTAAAGGATAAGTTCACCTTTTGGACAAAAATACATGCACATTTTTTTTGCAGGTAAAAAAAAAAAATATGCATTTATTATTTTTGCCCAAAGGAGCTCAGAAAGCATTGCACCAGCGATCAGTAGACCCGTCAGAATATCTGCTTGCCATACAGCTATGTACAGCCAAGCAGATATTCTGACAGGTAGCTTCAATGAACGATCACGGCAATCCACAGTTCCGTGGTAGTTCATTGAAAACTGCAAACCTACAGCCGCTACGGCTGTCGGGACTTGCAGTTCATTCATTCACAGAAGTCCGTGAATGAATGACGTGGCCGAGCGGGCAGAGCCCCGCATGGCCGAGCGGTTTCCAAATCTGACAGATAGTATGGGGAGAGGTTTCCCCGTACTATCTGTCAGAGGGAGGGGGGGGGGGTAGCGGGTACAGCTGCAGCTATGAGAACATGTTATATGTTCCACCCTTTTTAGGGTGGAACATGTAACATGTTCCCAAGGTGAACTTATTCTTTAAATACTGGTATCTCCTCCTCTGGGACCGTCAGATTCTTATGGAGATAGGAAACTGCCCTATCTGCCAAAGGCATACTCATTTTCTCATTGAATCTTGTCAAGGTGAGCCCAATCCACATACAAAACACCCAAATAATCATGAACCGGAAAGGATTAAGGTTTTTGTTGCAAATGCCATGATCCAAATCCTGTAACTTTTGAAGCAGATGATTTGGGAAATAGTAGCTTTAAACTGGTCCAGACCACCTCCATGACAAAACTATGCCCCATGGCAGAAGAGAGACAGAGGATGGGCACCAGGAGCATCTACTACCATGGCACTCCCCATTCCATGCAGGCCACACCGTGAAGGCCTTCAAGGACTCGACTACCCAGCTGCACAGGGTCTCGTAGTACAGAGTCCAGTGTTAACCGGCAACATTACAGGGTACTACTCCTTTGAGCATAATGAGCTGTACGCAACAGATCCAGAACAGCCAGTTTCTTGAGAAACTGGCCATTTTTAAGACAGTAGCAAAAAAACCTGAAGCCTTACCTAGCTAAGAGAGGCTATTTCCTGTTTTTTTTGCCAGTGTCCTATCACCTGAAGGTGGCATTTTTTTATTGTTATAACCCTATCATATTGGATATGAAGATAACATTTCATGGGATGCGTGGGATGTACGATAAAGAAATAACTTTGCCCCTATAGCTGCAGTCATATCATTTACCTGTGATTAAGTATTTCCCACTTCATGCAGGCTGCTGCTTTGTATAGAAAATGTATCTGCAGGGTGTCCAGTCCTCTTCCTGGTACTGAACTTTAGCCATGGTAGGGGTAATAGCTTCTGGTCTTCAGGCTAAATTGCATTCATGTCCGACAGGGACCTGTCCCCTCCTCAAAACTGAAGGAGCCAGGTGGAAAATTGTAAAATGAAAAGCTTTGCCAGTGTCCAGTCGCCTGAAGGTTCCAGCTAATAACCCAGGGTCTATAAATATCAAAAAGTGTGTCCCGTACTGTACAATTAGAATCACATTTGACTTGCAGAACTTCAGCTTTAATTGCATAATTTTTAAATGCAAGTAGTGTACCTACTTGAATTTGACTTGGTATCAGCCTCCTAAAAAACGGGAGAAGCTGCACAAGAAGCTAATCAGTTTGTATGCTACAAGAATGCTGACAGAAGGAGAGAGTAGAGTGACAGAGTAGCTTATTCTGCTGCTTCTCCTTTTACTGTCCAATCAAAGATTGGGGAAAGAACAAGATCAAAAATTGTTACAACAGTAGGAAAAGAAAACAAAAATCCGGTCTCCTGCCCTAACAGACAGGCCTGTGATGTGTGGCATAGCTGTGTAATTCTAAAAAAACTGGATGAAAAGTAATTAACCACTTCCAGTCCGGACACTTTTACCCCCTTCCTGCCCAGGCCAATTATCAGCTTTCAGTGCCATCACACTTTGAATGACAATTGCACGGTCATGCAACACTGTACCCATATGAATTTTTTTGCATTTTTTTTGAGACAGATAAAGCTTTAATTTTGGTGGTATTTATTCACCACTGGGATTTTTTACTTTTTTTGCTACGTAAATTAAAAAGTCCAAAGATTTTGGAAAAAAAAAAAGTGTTTTTTTTCTTATATAATTTTGCAAATAAATAGTATTTCATCATAAATCTTGGCCAACATTTATTCCATTATCTTTTTAGTAAAAAAAAAACCCACATTAGTTTATAGCCAAAAATTATAATTTGTAATCTTTATTATTATGTATGGTTTGTTTTTTTTTTTTTTACATACTGTCACCGTAGCAGTACAGTGTCACCATGGTGACACTGTACTACTTGTTGGGGGTGATGAAGATTTTTTTTTTTTTTTTTTACACTGATTGCTTTTACACCCATAAAGGCTGGAAAAGCAATCATTTCTCCTTCTCTCTAGCTGCATTCTTGCAGCCATTGAGAAATAATGTGTGAGCTGTGATTGGTCACAGCTTGTCACATGGTACAAGGCTGTTGTGTTATTTCATCATAAATCTTGGCCAAAATTTATTCCGTTATATTTTTAGTAAAAAAAAAAAAAAAAAAAAATAACCCAAATTAATAAGCAAAAATTATAATTTTTTTTATATTATTTTGTAATTATTTTTTGTACTGTACATACTCATGGTGATACTGTACTACTTGTGGGAGGTGATTATTTATTTATTTTTTTTTTTTACACGGATTGCTTTTACACCCATAAAGGATGTAAAAGCAATAATTCTCCTTCTCTCTAGCTGCATTCTTGCAGCCATTGAAAACTACTGAGTGAGCTGTGACTGGTCACAGCTTGTCACATGGTACAAGGCTGTTGTGAATAGCCTTGTACCATAAGAACTCTGTGATCATTCACAGATTTCACACGTAGTAAGCAATGACGTCAGAAGTGACATCTTGCTTACGACTTTGCATGTGATCACTGATTGGCCAATCAGTGATCACATGATCGGGACCTCGCACAGAGGTCCCATTCGACGACCGGTGTTCCACTGTGTCTGGAGGACACAGTGGGCACCGGATCGCAGTGCTGCGCGCTCCCAGGGAGCCACCCGACCCTGCACTGCCACTGTCTGGCCGTTTATATACATGGGCTGGACAGGAAGTGGTTAAAAAGAATTTTGTCAGGTAAAACAGCTCCCATATAATGTATGTATTTCAGCTGTGTATTTTAATGGTTTTCCTAGAAATCAGTTTTTAAAACACACACCACTTAAACATAAATGCACTATGTACAATCCTCCTGTGGTGCTTACTTTATGCAAGTTTATTTTGGTTTTCCTGACATGTCCACTACCATTCCATTACCTGGAGATGAAGGAGGCAAGTCTGTGCTTGGTGCATACCTGTAACTTCCGATAACTGAGATACACCTCGGAGAGTGAGGGCCCATGCCAGACGCACAGTAGCTTGAAGCCCAGCTGATTTCCATGGCTTGGGGTCTTGCAAGCGATGGTGAATGGCTGTGACGTACTGCCTCTCGTTGAGAAGAGGGGACTGTTGAATTAGTTCTATGAGAGTACAGAGCATACTTAGCTCTCAGTAAAGCAATAAAATGAATAAAACACACAACACATCAACCAGGAGGCAGCTAACTATGTGTGGTCATACCATCTCGATCTTCTGTCCCATGCTCCAAAAAACCCACATCCAAGCAGTATAGGAGGGCCATAAGAAGGTACAGATTGACGCTGTCCAGGGTGCCATCTGCTTCCAGGGTAACTTTTTCTAGGTATCCAATCAGAACCAAGGTGTCATCTTTACGCAGAGGAGACTGGCAGGCCCAGGAGAAGAGGCTCTCCGCCAAAGACTCACGGCATTCTTTTATGAGGTCTGCCACCTAAATAACGAAATCCAAAAATTACTATCAATGTTTGGGCACCTGCTGTGCAACTATCAAAGCAAAAAGTTTTGTAAAACACCACAGGGGGGTGGGTTGGTGTTTATTTTATATATGTTGTATACAAATATACATGTTCTATACAGTGAGGTGCACATTCTGGATAGAGAGAACAACTTGTTTGCATGAGGCACAAAAGAAGCCATCCAAGTCAAGCTAGAACAACCAAACTGAACAGGAGTGTCTTTGACACCTTGGGGTTTATTTACTAAAGCTGGAGAGTGCAAAATTAGGTGCACATCTGCATAGAAACCAATCAGCTTCCAGGTTTTATTGCCAAAGCAATTGAACAAGCTGAGGTTAGAAGCTGGTTGACTACCATGAACAGGTGCACCAGTTTAAGTAAATCTCCCTCACCCGTCTTGTCTTTCCACATAATATGCAGTTTTAACATCTCTACCTGGGCATTTAGACAATTCACACCAGCCGCTTTGTTACAACGAGGGAGCTGGTGCATGGTGCAGTCCAGCAGAATCAGTGAAGTGCTGATGCACCGATCACGAGGCATTGCATTTTGTAAAGCACTGTGCAAACTCTTGTGCTATATAAATCTTGTAATAATAATACCGGTAATTATTATTATTATTATTATTATAATTGCACGGTTTACTTTTCTTTTTTTAAACAAACTTTAATGTCACAGAGACCTCTCAAAGTTCAACTGGCCACCATGTAGTGTAAGGCAGTGGACTGCCCCACACTACACACTACTTTTTTCAGTGCACACTGCCTGCACACCACCACAACACAGTAGCATGAACTGGGCAGATAAAGAGACCAGGCATTTTGCTTTGTTATGCAGTGGGAATGTGCTGGAATAGCCATCCAATGCAGCCCCACTGCTTCTGGTGTGAACATATGTAGCCTTCCTGACACAGAAGAATGGGAATATGTAATTTGAATAGGGAGGTTGCACAATTTTCACACCTCCCATCCTTTGATAATTACATCTACCTTTCCATGATAATTGGATAAAGGTGTTGCTGCTACCTGTTTGGATATAAACACCAGGGTATTCTCCTAACATGTGTAAGAACTGAAAAAGTGGCTAGGAGAAGCTACAAAAAATCTTCAATATTGCAGAACAAGTTTCTAACTACTACTAGATATACCAAGGCCTGGATAAATGGGAAAATTCACAAGGCCTGGATAAATGGGAAAATTCCCAGACATCTGAAACAAATGTTCTTGTAAGGGAGGATGTCATACAACCATGAGCAGAGTGGTGGAAAAAAGCTCAACTAGTGCCAGGAGAAAACAACGTGCCTCCTAGCAGACACACATGCATGGAATTTACATCAAACCATGGAAATGACTGGCAATTATATGACTCCATACACTCCCTAGGTGTCCTCTATCATCCAGGTTATTTAACCTGAAAGACTGAGGACATCTAGTGGTGGAGAGAGATTATGTCTGAGAAACTACAAAAGAAGATAAATATAATATAAAAAAAATATACTTTTTTTTTTTTGCGAAGGAATTCTAAGACAAGATTTCCCAGAGTTGGGCATGATCTCATTAAAGTATAGCTAAAAGCAAAAATTTTAATTTTTTTAGTTTTGGATAGCGAGGGATTACAGCTGTTTGATATTCATTGCGGTCTGTGCCCCAGTTAGGGAAACTCACCCATGGCTTTGAAACAAAAAGGAAATATCCCCTAAGGGAAACAAATGGCAAAACGCTTTAATGCTGGAAAATTGCCTTTAGTTCTACTTTAACGCTGGCTGTACATATACTATATAGGTGTGTGAATATAAAAACACGCAATTTATTCAGCAGAAAAGCAGTAGGCTTTAATTCAATAGTAAACCCCCCCAAAAACTAATTGATTGCGGCTTAACAAACCAAGCTGCCCAGCAGAAGTAGCAGTTAGGGTTGAGAAACCATATAATACTGGTGGGGTGCTTGTCCCATGAGAACAAAAACTGTTGCTATAACTGCTTACAAAGAGTTACCCTATCTTTTAAAAAAAAAAAAAAAGAATTAGATGGAGTACAGCTTTAATTTGTTATTCAAGTCCATCTAAATCTGCTAGTGCATCTCACACTACCCCCTCCCTGGACAGAATGTTACTCTTCCTCTAGTGGAGTCTAGCTGCATCACCAGATGAAAATAAAGGAAAGTATGGATTTTTGTAATCATCATATAATCCTTTCCTCGGAGTTCAATGAAGGTCACAGCTTCACCAATTCATGGAAGTTTTTGCCTAGTGTCTTGCTCCTGAGATTGGTGGTATCAAGAGACCATCCGTGAATTAGTGAAGCCGAGTCCTCCAATGAATGATAGAGTAAAACTGGATTTAGGTAGTCACTGTAAAATCCTTTTTTCTGAGTTCAATGAAAATCATAGCTTCACCAATTCACAGATGTTTTTGATGCCGCCAGGAGCAAGGTGCTAGGCAAAAACATCCGTGAATTAGTGAAGCCATGTCCTTCAATGAATGATAGAGAAAAAAAGTCTACAAAAAGAAACTACTGCAACCACCATATTTAAGAAATGGTAAGTTGCAATATATTAAATATTTGTTTTTGGGCTTGGCACTTTAGCCCCAAGCTGCTACAATAATGTATACAGCTGGAGTCATTGTTCTGTGCTGGGAGCACACTTACTTAGCATCCCCCAGCTTTGTGACTGCACTGTCACCGACAGCTCCCAGTCACAGTTTACAATTGGAACTGGTGGAGAAGATCCCTGATTACTTACAGCCAATCACAATGATCACACAAAGTCCATGCAATGTCAACGGCCTATGAATTTTTAAAAGGATAACTGCATCCAGCTGGGTTAATATAGCCTAACATTCCACAAAAATAAATACATATGTATTACAAAATGTGTGTAGAAAATATTTCTCAAGCAGTATTAATCTTGTTTAGTTTTGCAGTTCACTTGCCTCCTTTCGATGTTTCTCGTTGCCGAGCCCTCGTTCTTTCTGGAGTTTGTCAAATTCATTGTTCACGTTGATTTGAGAAACTAGGATCAGGATCTTCTGAGTCAGCCCACTCTCCATGAGATCATTAGTGAAATGGGTTGTCATGGCCACAACCTCTGGACTGAGAGGAAGAGAAAACTGTAAATAGGGCCTTCTGTAGGTAAACCATCAACTAGAATAGATCATCAATATAAAGTGCTAGGATGGAGAGCCACATTTCTCACAGCATAAGATTAAGGCTACATGTACACTAAACTCCCTTGGACGCCAAGCTCTCCTGGCAGCTGAAAAACGCTAAGCATGGCAAAAACGCAAGTAAAACGCAGTATCATGTTTTGTGCTTGGACGTTTATTCATTTCATTGGCCAGAGTAGTTGCCATTGAAATGAACACCCAAGCGCTTAGGGGCGTTTACATGCGTTTTTGCCATGTTTTTGGCCAAGACATACCTCTCCTGAACGTGAATTTTCTGTGTTCAGGAGAGGGATGTTTCAATGCGCCTAAACTCTGCTGCTGCTAAACTCAGATAAAAGAGTTCTATTGAGTTGAGTTCAGGGGTTTTGGCAAAAAAACTCCAAAAGCTAGTCACATTTAGGAGCAGAGATGTGCATGAGGCCTTTAGGTTTTTCTCCAGCCCAGTCCTGTTTGGAAGGGCAGGACACCTGATTTTTCTCTGCTGCAGGTCAGTAACACTCACAGGTCTTGTCCTTCCATCAAGAAGAAGAAAAGGCTAGTCTATTGCCCACCCCACACAGGGGTGCAAGATGGGTGTTACTACCTGTTTTAGGCCCAAAATATTTTTAAGTAGTTTTTTGTCAACCTCTTCTAGTATTTTCAGAACTTAGGTTAGAGGTTAAAACTAGCTCATGACTGCAGTAAGTTTTTTTTTCTTTTAGCAGAATTTCTTTGTAAAAGCAATCAGAGTTGCTGTAGAACCATCCAATCACTTGTTATGTGCCACTCCCTATCCGTTCCCGAATCTCCTCTGCAGTGTGAACCTGAAAATGCAGAACTCTGGACATTTCTGGTTCACAGTTGTCAAAAAGCCAGGTAAACAGAAGATCAATAACAGTTCTATGCTTAATCCGATGGTGCAGAGGGCAGGGGAAACATTAGTGCTGGGAGGAACTTGATAGCCCTTGTGATAAAAATAAAGTTAATTAAAAAAAAGTTAAAATGTTAAATTAAATAAATATATATATCAAAAAAGGACCTCCATCCCACACACAGGAACGAAAATGCTTATATGTAAACGATTATACACCACATATTCCATATTGTTGAGGTCCCTGATTTACAGTTGACTCTAAACTCATGACCTGTAAAAGGCATTTAAAGCTTCACATATTGATAATATTTTGACATTTTTCTGGTGCATGCAGTTTTGACGATAGGAATATTTGGTATCTATTTATTCACTGCTACTTCATTTTTTATTTTGTCCATTCATTTTAGTCTATTTTTTTCTGTAATATAAATTTGATTAATATTTGTACAAACAGCGGGCACCATTAAAAACTGGAACCGTCATATTTTTTTAAGTAGTTTTATAGCCAAATATTCAAATTTCAACGTGTGAGCAAAAAAAATGAAGATATTGCTCCAGAGACATAGTGGTTTAAGAATACATAAAAAAAAGTTGTGCTGTGAGTAGTTAAACGTGAGCATAGACAATATATGCTAATATGAGAAGTAATGGTTATATAATATGTAACGGAACCGGACCCAGACTGCACTAGGGTATTTCCGTTAGACTCCAGCTTCCCTGTCCAAAACACAAATCCTCGGACACCACCGCTGATCATGCAGGAAATAGACAGCACCAGACACTTCTTAAGAAAGGAGGTCAACTGCTTTATTTTAACACACACACACACACACACACACACGATATATACACGGGGGGGAGGGGGGGGGGGATACAACCAGGAACAGGAAACACATCACAGGCCATCCCATCAGGAGGGAAGGGCTGCCAGAAACACCCCCCACCAAACCAAGACACATAATAGAACAAAGGGATACACCACTTGGCAGTAGACAATAGGGAAACACATTTTTATTTATTTATTTCAGGTACTTATATAGCGCTGTCAGTTTACACAGCGCTTTACACATATATATTGTATATTCACATCAGTCCCTAACCCTCAAGGGGCGTACAGTCTAAGGTCCCTAACTTACATTCATATATTAGGGCCAATTTAGACAGAAGCCAATTAACCTACCAGCATGTCTTTGGAGTGCATCCCATAATAGTTTACTAGAACAATGGAATGCAACAGCATGGCAGAGAACAATGAACAACCCCCACACCAATATTAGAACATTTCACCCTGTCCCCTAACAGGCGCAGGGTGACCTAAACATAAGAGGAATTTGGGAAGATGATACAGGGGTCCCCCCACCCCCATCACATAATATGAATATTGAGGCTTTATTACACAATGGGGGCTTTCAAATTAAATTACAAGTACCTGAGATCCAATGTAAAAGTCCTTCCTTTCCGGGACTGGACCAGAGTTCTTAGAGAATTGGCAATACATCTTTTTCCATCCCAGTATAACAGAACCGCGACCAGTCCACGTGTCAGACCAGGAAAGTGAGGCTGTTGGTGTTCTCCTGCACAGGTGTAAGTTCATGTTAAGGTGAGCAAGCTGTGTGTAAGTAACTCTCAAAAAAACCCATCAAAAGTTAACTGAACAAATGTAATCAGATCTGCTTGTTAAAATGGATCTCCAGCTAAATATACAGTCAGGTCCATAAATATTGGGACATGGACACAATTCTAACATTTTTGGCTCTATACACCACCACAATGGATTTGAAATGAAACAAACATGATGTGCTTCATCTGCAGACTGTCAGCTTTAATTTGAGGGTATTTACAGCCAAATAAGGTGAACGGTGTAGGAATTACAACAGTTTGCATATGTGCCTCCCACTTGTTAAGGGACCAAAAGTAATGGGACAATTGGCTTCTCAGCTGTTCCATGGCCAGGTGTGTGTTATTCCCTCATTATCCCAATTACAATGAGCAGATAAAAGGTCCAGAGTTAATTTCAAGTGTTCTATTTGCATTTGGAATCTGTTGCTGTCAACTCTCAAGATGAGTTCCAAAGAGCTGTCACCATCAGTGAAGCAAGCCATCGTTAGGCTGAAAAAACAAAACAAACCCATCAGAGAGATAGCAAAAACATTAGGCGTGGCCAAAACAACTGTTTGGAACATTCTTAAAAAGAAGGAACGCACCGGTGAGCTCAGCAACACCAAAAGACCCGGAAGACCACGGAAAACAACTGTGGTGGATGAGCTTAGAATTCTTTCCCTGGTGAAGAAAACACCCTTCACAACAGTTGGCCAGATCAAGAACACTCTCCAGGAGGTAGGTGTATGTGTGTCAAAGTCACCAATCAAGAGAAGACTTCACCAGAGTGAATACAGAGGGTTCACCACAAGATGGAAACCATTGGTGAGCCTCAAAAACAGGAAGGCCAGATTAGAGTTTGCCAAATGACATCTAAAAAAGCCTTCACAGTTCTGGAACAACATCCTATGGACAGATGAGACCCGAGATCAACTTGTACCAGAGTGATGGGAATAGAAGAGTATGGAGAAGGAAAGGAACTGCTCATGATCCTAAGCATACCACCTCATCAGTGAAGCATGGTGGTGGTAGTGTCATGGCGTGGGCATGTATGGCTGCCAATGGAACTGGTTCTCTTGTATTTATTGATGATGTGACTGCTGACAAAAGCAGCAGGATGAATTCTGAAGTGTTTCGGGCAATATTATCTGCTCATATTCAGCCAAATGCTTCACAACTCATTGGACGCCGCTTCACAGTGCAGATGGACAATGACCCAAAGCATACTGCAAAAGCAACCAAAGAGTTTAAGGGAAAGAAGTGGAATGTTCTGCAATGGCCAAGTCAATCACCTGACCTGAATCCGATTGAACATGCATTTCACTTGCTGAAGACAAAACTGAAGGGAAAATGCCCCAAGAACAAGCAGGAACTGAAGACAGTTGCAGTAGAGGCCTGGCAGAGCATCACCAGGGATGAAACCCAGCGTCTAGTGATGTCTATGCGTTCCACACTTCAGGCTGTCATTGACTGCAAAGGATTTGCAACCAAGTATTAAAAAGTGAAAGTTTGATTTATGATTATTATTCTGTCCCATTACTTTTGGTCCCTTAACAAGTGGGAGGCACATATGCAAACTGTTGTAATTCCTACACCGTTCACCTTATTTGGATGTAAATACCCTCAAATTAAAGCTGACAGTCTGCAGTTAAAGCACATCTTGTTCGTTTCATTTCAAATCCATGTGTGGTGGTGTATAGAGCCAAAAATGTTAGAATTGTGTCCATGTCCCAATATTTATGGACCTGACTGTACATCCTCCAAATAACAAATCATGTTCATTTTTTGTGCAACAAACACGGCTGAATGGTTCAAGGCTAATTTCTTCATTTTAAGGTGTTATTTTTATTTGTGCAGCACTGTCCCTATTATACTTGGGTTTTGTGTACTTATATCTCAAGGCACTCTAGTGTCTTGTGGCAGCAGCTGTTATTTGGGTATCACAAAAAATATATTTTGAATATTAATACAAAATCCCTGTTATGCATTTCATCTTGAATTTTTCAATAGCTTTAATTTGTTAACAACATATAAATTATGTTATGAAACATTTGTCTTGTTTGTTCTGCTCATACAGTTCCCCTTTCTTTAAATTAGGCCTATGAAGATTATTTTAACACAAGATTCATTACACACCAGCTAGAAGAAGCTCCACAGCTGCCACTTCTCCGATATTGAATAAGTCGCTGAGGATAAAGGCCTCCTTGATGAGTGACTCTGGGAGGAGCTGAGTCCCCTGCCGGCCTTTAATAGCCACTCCCTCTGTGCTGGCTTTTTGGATTTTTTCATGCTGTTGGTGACTCTTTGGCTGCAAAAAAAAAAAAAAAAAAAAAAAGGAAAGACAAAATTAACCGCTTATCTGTGCACCCTGATGCAAACAGGTAAATATACAATTATATGTTATATTACATATACCACTCTTGTGATTTACACTGCACGGCCATGCAGGGGACACCACAATTTCATATTGCAGCTTCCAATGTCACCTGGCCAATATGAAAACACCATCGTCTGTCTCACAAGGAAGCAGGTGACACAGGAAACTGCAACCAAACACTGGGGTCATCTGCAGTGTGGCAATGGTTTGTTGATCTCAAGGCAGGCTTAAACTGATCCTGTAGCCACAGGGTCACTTGTATACAAAATACACTTACCTTTCCATTGACCTGCTTGACTCCCCACGCCCCGCGTAAATTTTTGACCCTTCAGATGGGTCAAGCACCCATTTCTATTGCAGCACACTTTGGCTCCTGTCAATAGCTTAATTATCCAATAGAGATATACGAGCCAGCAGGAAAAACCACCCCAATGAGGCGAGGGAGCAAGTAATCCATATACCCGGAAGTGTGGAATATCTGAAGTGGCCAGGGAGCTCCGAAGCTGTGGCATTCTAAAGTCACTGGCTCCTGCTGCTGTCAATCAATTCCTATGATAAACAGAGGGGGGGGCGGGGGAGAGCCCTGCTTTCTGTGTCTATGGAAGCGGCTTCCTATGGGGGGCACTCACTGAGAGCTGATTCCCACATGTGCGGTGCGGATTGAAGCTCAGGTTTCACAGCTAATTAATACAGTGGCTGTTCACAGGTTTAGGTTAGGTTTACATCAGGTTCAGGACAGGATTAACTCAGGATCTTATCCTGTTCACACATATGTGCTTTAGGAACGGTTCCCATAGAAGTCAATAGCCTGTAATCTGGACCTGAACCACTGCTCAGAAATCGGACATGACTTTTTTAAATCCACACTGGCCATGCATCAGACATATATGAACAGGCACCATAGGAAGAAATGTTATTTCACGTCATGCAGTTGGATGCGATTGAAACCGCATCCAATCCGCATATATGTGAATGGGCATTTAGGAGCAGCCACCAGAAGCACTGGCGGGGGACTCCAGATGAGGCGGATCAAAGCTGCTCTGGGCAAACCATTGTATAGAGAAGGTGAGTATAACATGTTTATTTAAAAAAAATAAAAATTAAAGGTTTATAAAAACTTCAAAAGATGCTTTTATATACAAGTGACCTTGTGGTGACAGTGTCATTAACAAAATTATAGATTCTTTGGGAAAGTAAAGGGAATTTGTGGAATTTTGGTACATATTTCCTTTAATTATGAAATTAAGTTGAATTTTTTTTTTACGTTTCTTTTTAATTAGTTAAATAAGACACATCATCATAAATACTTCATATTTAGCAAAGAGTTCCCAGCAGGTAGAGCTTTAGAGTCTGCTGACTACAAGTTTTCAGCAACTCCTAACTTCCAGGGTGGACACGCCTGTTCAGACCTAGTGCACTAGAGTACCACTTGCTTTACTGCAGCACACTGCATTGCTCAATGTAAGTGCATTGCCATTGTGGGGAATCCTCATATCCTATACTGGGGTTTCCACCTTTGGTATAACATTTTAAAGATTTCTTATGTTTGGTATGAAACCTTCAAAATAAAATCTGAATTAAACAAAAAACATTTTAAAGCAGACCTGTCTAAGAGGGGTGGTAAGGGAGTTTTTTTATTTATTTATTTATTTATTTTTTAAGCACTCACTTGAAAATTTGTCAGCAAATGCTTTGCTTTGGAACTATCTATTTCAATACCTACAACACAGAGGCAAGTAAGGGTCCGTAATAAACCTAAACTCTTTGAATTCCATGTCCTCAAGGGGACTGCTGTCCACAACAAAAGAAGTTTTGCTTCAATGAAGAACATGAAAAACATACTGGGTTTTTAAACAGGGAGATGAAGTCAGGTTTGTGCTTCTTTAACAAGATATCCAGGACATGCAAGGCTTCTGGCTGTCTTCTCAGCAAGGCACTTTCCACTGTCTGCCAGATGTCTTTGTATGGACCCCATAGACTAGCCACTGCAAGAAAGAGGAAGATTAGCAGGTTACTCAGTTATCATAGAACATTAAGCAAATAAAGAATTTCTTTGTTTGGTTTTTCCATATGCTGTAAACTGAACTTTCTATAGTGGGCAATAAATCATACTTTTAGAGAGACCATGTCACTAAAATGAACATGTTCTTTTTGTCTCTTCTGGGCATCAAAATGTACGATATCGATTATATTAGGTGTCCAGCTTTTATAAAAAAAAAAAAAAACCACACACACACTTCTGCCTTATAACACCAGGGTCATTGGTTCGAACCTCAGTAAGGACATCATCTGTATTTGCATGTTCTATTGCTTGGGTTTCCTCCAGGTGCGCCAGTCCTTAAGTTGACCTTAGGATGTCCAGTATGTATGTAAGATAGGGTCCTTAGACTGTAAATTTCTTGAGGGCAGGGATTGATGTGAATGTACAGTATGCAAAGCATTGTGTAAATTGCCAACAATATACAAATGTCTAATAAATAAATATACTGTATACAGTGAAAGCAAACAGTTGTCTCAGCACTCAGGTTTGGATATACGCTGGGGTGTACCTAACAAGGAGACAACTTCAAGTAGAGGAGGTTGTGATTTAATACTTGCTGTTATGAAGAGTTAAAATTACTAAATGATGCTAATCTAATGATGTGTGAGCACTATATTGCATTAGTACTCTCAACCCTGGAAGTGTGATGATGTCTCCCCAGAGGGGTGTCCATGACCGGCTCGAGTTCACAATAATTGGGTTGAATAATGCTGGCCATCATTCAGTTAGGACGACTGTGGACAACTAGTGGTGGAGAGAAACTTCAGCAGGTGGCAGGGGCAAAGGTGAGTATTGCAGCAAAAAGCAGCTTTTTAATTTTTACTCATACACTCTCATGCTAAAATGATCACTTTTAGAATGGGGCTCTGTTATGTATGGGTGGTTGGCGGAGATGCCTTACATTTTTACATTGCATGGCACGGTTTACATTATTTTCTTTTTAACATTATTGAAATGTCACAAAGTAAATGTCACAAACTGGCCTTTCATTAATTCCAATGCACAGCAGAAGAACTTCAATCTTTAGGTGTGCTCTCATTTGGAAAAATGCAGACATGTAGCATTTCTCTGCACACAGAAAAAACTGTTTTCAGTTTGCAATGCAGAGGCCTATATTGATCAAATGAAGAAAAATACAGGTCACCGCACACGGCATGACATAGAAAACAATTGTTTTCTATGTACTCAGTTCATACCACAATGCTTCTGCGATATGGCACCATAGCTCACTCCATCACACTCTCAATACAGTTACAAAAAAAAATAAAAAATTATAAATGTAATCAGTGCAATGCACATTGCCTTGCCAGGCCAAAAGCGGACACCGGCCCTCTCCTCTGTACAAGACAAACAGCTCCTGGCTTAGTTTTGTGAATCGCCAGGAGAAAAGGGGGCATAGATGCAACCATAGCACTGGGGTCCAGCATTTACAGTTGGAGCGGCCAGGAAGTACATCAGGAGCTGTATTTCCACCCACAAGTATAGCAAATTTGAGTTAGGAACATGAACATGTATGTTATGGCAGGTGGTTCAAGTAATTTTTACTTAAAGCCTGGAATTGGGCTGTAAAAATTTGTAACGCCTGAGGAGTTACATGGGCAATCTGCTCATGTGATCACTGTGATTAATTGCCCTACTGGCTACCAATTGTAAACAGTGACCAGGAGCTGACAGTGATAGCGTGGTCACAGTGCTAGGGCCATGAAGTGAGCACACTCCCAGCACAAACAAAGCCATTCGTAACGCATATATGTGGTAGCTCTGTGTTCAAGCCGATTATGCTGCCATAGGGATGTTTGATTCCTATTACCCAACGCCCGGGACATGTAGTTCCGGGCGTCGGGAAGGTAGTTTTTTCTTTTTTATCTATAGCCCTGCTGCTGCTTGCTTCCACGCAGTGCCAGCCTCTCTCCACCCCCCCCATGAGGTCTCCCGGGCTCAGCTTGCCCATCTGTGGGCCCGGGACTGGCTCACCGCCGTCAGCTAGAGGGAGGGAGAAGAGCAGAAGCATCCACTCCCCACCCCTTCTTGTGATGTACCTTCTGGGTCCCCATTGAGAGATTCCTGGTCATGGAAACTGGGAAAGAATGAAATGCGGTGCGATTAAATTCAGTGGAGCACAGGGGAGACATGCAGGGTCTTTTAGATCCTGGATGCCTCAATAAAGAGAACCTGTCACCAAAAAAAATCTTCACATAGAGGACTTTGATTTTATGGGGAAAAAAATGTTTTTTTTTCCCTTTGTAAAAAATTAAAAGTTACACCCAAGCACATACCATTCCCCCCCACCCCCACATATACGCACGTACAAACGTAAAAGCACACGCTGGGACACCTACACATGAAACCGTCGATTGTGATACACGTCACATATCACCACACACGCCAAAATGAGAGCAATAATTCTAGCACCAGACCTCCTCTGTAATGCTAAACTGATGACCTATAAGGAGCTTTAAAAGTGTCGACCTACAGAAAATATAGGGTACTGAAGTTCGTCGCCATTTCATGAGCACACACAAACTTAAAGATTGACAAGTTGGATATCTATTTGCTCGGTGCAACCTTATCTTTTATATTTTACAAAAAATAGGGTAATTTACTGCTTTTTTGTGCCCTAAAAGTAACTTACTTGGATTTTGTACTGAAATTTTACTGTAATATTATGTGACATAAAATATTGAAACTACCACTATTTTATTCTCTAGGGTCTCTGCTTTCATAAAATATATAATGTTTGGGGGTTTTGTGTAATCTTCAGGCCTAAAATGATTTTTTAATCGTGTGCAAAAACGGCTCTGGCAGTGAAAGGGATATAGGATAAGCCCTGACCCACCCTTTCCTGAAGAGCAGCCAATCGGTGCTCATTACACTTACAAGGTCTCTCCCCTCCCTGCTAGTCCCCGGGTACTGTGCTGGAGAGAGGCAGGGAGGGGAGGAGGAGATAATATATATATATATATATATTTATTGTGTTTTACAGATGTTATTCATCTATAAAGGACTCCCTTGTGTAGACCTCCAGAAGCCCCGAGACTGCTGCTGGGTGCCGCCACCTTGGATGTGATGTCATCAGACCCAGCAGACTCAGAGCTGTCACTCTATAGTATTCCCCATCACTCCCCCGGCAGATACATAAAAAGTTAGTTAAGGAGGGAAAGGGCAGGGGAGATGAGCAAGACAGTAATTATTCCCAGGAGGAGGAGAGGGCTGTGCCGGGGAAAGGACTCTTCCTGGAATGGTCACAAGCAAGTTCAAAGACACTTTGCAAGTCAGTAAAAAGATAATTTATGGAAAAGGAAAAACACTGCAAGTAAATATTTACTAGCTTAAAAATAAAGTTCCTAGCAGCTACTTGTGAGCGTTTTTTTTTTTCTGCCACTAGAAGCAAATGGTGTTATCCTATGTGTCTACGTATACTATTTTAGTCTAGAAATTTTTTTTTTTAAAGCGTCTGCTTCTAGGAGCAGAAAAAAAAAAACACTTTTTTGCATTTTTGGGAGAGATTTGGCAGCAAAAAAAATATGCTAAATGCTCCGAAACGCGGCTAACCGCCAGCTTCCAGCATTTTTCTTCCTCAGCGGCCTCCGGCATCCTTAACCAGTGAATAGCTTGTTGATAAGGAGTGGGCCAGCAAGCCAGCCACCACGTCCTTAAAGCGGAGTTAAAGTGAAACTGTAAAAAAATAGAAGTCAGCGGCTACAAAAACTGTAACTGCTGACTTTTAAAAAACTGCCACTTACCTGTCCTTCAATCCTGCTGTGTCCTCACCACAGCTCGTTTCACTGGCCATTCTTTGTTCCCAGCGCCGGCATCTTCAGTGTGGGCACCCGGCTGCGACAGCTTGCAGCTTCACAGCCGGGTACCCACTGCGAATGCGCGAGTAGCTCTGCGCTTTCTGAATGGTCCCATAGTCTTCTGGGACCTGTCAAATGTCCCACAAGACTACAGGGAGGGAGGAGGACAACTTCCTTTTCTGATCACAGCAGAAGTGGGAGCGAGTACCTGTCATTTTTGGGTACCCACTCCCCCGAGGTGACAATCCTTAATGGGGAGCGGGGGACCAGTCCTTAAACTTCCAGAACATCCCCTTTTGGGAGGAGCTCTGCTTTAACAACAGATGACTTATCAGCTGTGAGCCGGGTGACAAGGGCCTCTTCCCCACAACTCTGTGGGTGTCTGTGGGTGGGGGGGCTTAACGGAAACTGGAAGCTCCCTAACAAGGGGGCCCCCAGATCCCAGCCCCACCCCTATGTGAATGAGTATACGGTACAGTTGTTGACAAGTCCTTTATTAAAGTGTTACTAAACCCACAACAGTACAAATCAGCCTGTATATGCAGTAAAGCATGCTTATTATACTCACTGTGGAACCTAAGGGGTTAATCCTCTGCATTGTGTAAAAAAAGGCTGTTTGCTCATTTCTTCTCTGTTTTTTTCCCCTTTTTCAAGGGACTACCACTTATCTCCTGATAAGACAGAATGAACCATAGGCATAATGTGTACTGCTAGAGAGGTTTTTTTTTTCTTGGGAGAGTGCATGTGATCAGCAAAGGGCCAACCAGCACTGGTCAGACAGAGGTTATACATCCTCCTAGAGCAGAAAGAAAACTCCTCCTCCAAGCTTTAGAAACTGCTTGGCTGAACACTGATAGAAGCCACAAGACAGCTCTAACTTCTGATGGGAAAAGGTATTTAGCAGTTTATATTTACTAAAATAATTGCATTTCCATGTTCTGTGGAAGATCAGATATAATGGATGAAAAGTCCTGTATATAGTAAAACTTAAAAAAAACACCACCACCAAAACAAAAACAACGTCCCCTGAAGTAAATCCAGCGGCAATCACGATGAATACCGCCACCCCCCCCAAAAGAAAGATCTGCACCCAACGCTGGCTCCCACTGTCTGACAGCTCCACCGCCTCCAAATAAACTAAGGGACAAGGCC